GGTCATTGGGTATGGATGTTAAAAGGGATATACCACGACCAGGAACGGAAATATTTGCTTTTGTGCCTTCAAGCCCACCTACCCCCAGGGATTTGTGACAGGGAATTTATGTCAGGTTTTAAACTGAGGCTGAATCTGCCTGGGGTGAACTTTGTAGAGAGGGGGGTGGGCACCCACACATACATGTAACAACAGCACACAAAGTAGTTTTTGTCAAAGCATACTCTGCCTGGTATTTCTCCTCAGGTTGAGCGGGCTGCTGAATTCCCCTTTTCAACCGTGCACGACAGTTTGAGGAGTTTGAGAGCATATTAAAGCAAGGCTCAGAGATTATCATTTTTGCACCATTAAATTGTCAGAGCGATTCAAGAGAAGAGAGGGCTGTAAAAGAAAAAACCTAGAGCAAGAGGTTTGAATTTGGCTTGAAGACTCCGAGTCTACCACCACCTGTCACAGTCCACTATCTTCCAATCACAGTTTCATTATGCCAGCCAGGCATGAAGAGATGGGAGTCTCTTCTGGCCGTAGGGAAAGCTTTAGGCAGACAGCAGGTGGGCTATATGAAGACCTGTACAGGTCAGAGTACTGTGAGACCTGGTGCCCCCTTGCTTCTATGAATGGGCGGGGGAGGGTCGTGGGCCAAAGGGAGATTGATGGCCTACCTTCATTCATGTCAAATCACCTGTCAGCACGCCCCTGGCATTGAATCCATTTGTTCTGAGCCACCATTAACCTTGGACCACTTGGATTCATTCCCCCTCTCTGTGGACCAGGCCCCTGCAACCTTTGTCCACGACAGCTGCCAAACTAGTTACTAGCCTCAACTTTTAGCGCTGAACTTCCATTGGCCGACTTTAAAACTGGAACCAGCAAAACAGGTTTTGTTGAGCTGAGGTGAGTTTGGGCTCTCATAAACTAAAACTTCATTTTTGAGGGGCCTTACGCAGTATCAGTAACATAAATCATCTCACTCTACCCATCAGTGGACATAAATTCATTTGATCTGTTATGGTCTGTTCTTGATTCTGTTGTTATATGTGTGATCTAAACATGTAGAAACCTGGTTATAAGCAGATGTTTGATCAGTTTAGGGGGTCTTTGGTCAGACAGAGACAGACTACCGTTTGCCCACTTTCCCACCACAGGTTGACATTCACTGAATTTACAGTCATCAGGAGGAAAAAATATGGTAATGATGCTGCATGGCCCTAAGGAGAAAAAAAAACATTTTCCGTCCATACTTTTCACACTAATACCAGTGATTTAAGTCTAGATCTCCCACATGTTAAGTATCTACGTGGAGGCCACAAAGACCCAGCTCCCCACGGTACCAATCTATTATTTGTTGCTCCGTTCCCTGGGGTGTACATAAATTGGATCCGATAATGAGGGATTGCATATTCGACAGATGTTCATTTATACTGTATTATTGTTCTGCATGCTGCGCTGTGTGGTATTAAACCAAACTATCAGATTAAGCATCTTTCTGAATATGATAATGATGCATTGAGTGCAATATTGCAGGTTAAATTAGGAATCTGTGTCGACTGTCTGCACATTTGCATTGTCCATACATATTTCGCCACTGATGCCCTAAAAACAGAAATCCAGTTTAAAAAACATTTACTAAAAATATGGTGTGCACAATTCAGAGCTGCGGACTAAAACACATAGAATTAAAGCGAGAAAGAGTTCTTCTCTTTGCCATTAAAGATGCTAAATACTGAAATCCTCTTTCCGTTCCAATATGACCCGCTTTGGTGGAGTCGGCGGTTGAATGTAGGCTGCCTCTCAGAGCATGTCTGCTGTTCGACTGAGCACACAGAGGCTTAGGGATCAGCCTGTGTCCCTGACAGGGATGTGTGCCACTGAGCGTTGGCCTGTCCACTCAACAGAGCTGCAAGCCCCAGATCAGTGGCACTGCCTAGCCTACAGGTTGTACTCGGTGGCTGTGATGCTGAGGGCTGGCTCTCCGCTGTGTGCGCGGCAGCCCTCCAGATGGATGCTAGGACAGCAGAGGCCACGGGGCTGAAAATCCCATCAAGCAGCAATTCCAGGCTCTTGCTTGAGAAGATGAAGCGCACCAGCGCGCCAGGGGGACACAGGCCAAACCCTTCTGCATCTCCATCACCCCCCAACCAAACCTCAATCCTTGAGTGCCTCTCTTTCCATCCCCTCCTCATCCCTCTCTTCCACCTTTTTTTCTCCCTTTCACAGGGCAAGACTGCACGCCCAACCAGCCAGAATATGGAGTGTGGCCTGCGGGGTCTTTGGCCCTCGCTTGTTAAATAAAAGAGCTGACTGGCTGATTGATAGACCCTCAGCAGTCCCTGCAACTCATATGTTTCCCAGTTCACCGCCTTATATACGAATCTTTTGTTGGCCCGGCCTGCGTTAGCATTCGTTAAATGTGGTGTTTGATGGATGACACCAATTTTCTTCCAAAACCCAGATGAGCCACCCAAGCACCTTTCCCACTTCCCTGGATCCTCCCCAGGTAAACCGCATAAGCATGACAGGACAGGAGTGTTCTAAAACAGTATCAATCAAACGGCTTTGTGCGTGGCCGCAGTGACAACGCATTGTTTCAATTATGCATCTGTTCTTTGGCAGATGACATCTTGTGAAACCTCTTCCACCCTCTGACTTTAAAGAGGAAGTGTTCCTCACATGAGTCTTGTACTTCGTCACAGTTTTCACAATTTCCTTACATTTCATCACATATATACCACAGTACACTGCAGTATAGTTCAATATATTACACGAAACTCAAGACAGCTTTACTGCCCCTGTTTTCAACAACAAACTAGAATGAGCGCTGTGTAGTCATGAGCCTTCACCAACCATTCTGGTTCCATAATACATCTATCTCTCCCTCTTTTTCCTTTCATAAATGTGGTATTAGAGAATACTATTCTTTCAGATTATTCTGATATCACAGTGAAGCTAACCATTAATCCTTTCATTCTAATGAATCATCACCTCACAATATCGTCAAATGAAACGATTGTGATTTTCGTTTTTGCTTTTGCTTTAAATAATCCCAATAGCAAAGGTTAAGGTCAATGTGGGACCACTTCGATGTCTTTGTTGTGATCAACAGAAACTGCATCACGCAGAAGAAGAGTGATCAGCAATTCCTCGTATCTATGCAGGTCAGACTAATGATTTCTCAATAAAAAAACATAAAATAAGCAAAAGATTAAAACAAGGAAAATAAATAATGTGCCCATAAATATATCGATTTATTACAGTTATAAAGACTAACCAGTAACTGACTGACTCATTCAACTAAATCATCACACCCGGTCCCAGAGCTGATAAAGATTGCTATACTGAATGCCTGAGGCGTGCTCTGAAATCCACAAAAGCTGCGAAAAGTGTCAGCCTGATGCAATGCACTGAACAGACAGGTGAAAAAGATAAACAGATGCGAGACCAGTCTCTGGAGTGTTGGGTTCATTTGTTACCCAGCGAGGACAGACATATTCCTGTCAGACAAGCCGTGGCAGCACCAGATGCGAGGTCATTCCAGTTATGCGGGGAAAAGCTGGGGTTAAGGACAAAGATTCTCTCTGCACAAAAGAGATGGCCATGAGGCTTTATTTCCCCTGTGGTCGTGTACGATAAATGCTCCTACTGAATTTAGCTCCAAGGAGCCAGAAAGGGTTTTTTTAAGACAACTGAAGCTTGTTTATAGTTTGTCAAAAACAAAGCTGAGTGAATTTTGCCACGGTGGATCTGTTATTAGCCATTTCAAATGCAATTACTATTAATTCGATACCAGATGTAAATTTCTCCGGATGTTCATAAGATTGCTTATTAGTATGCCTAAAGAAAAGGTACATTTCCTTATGTGTTACACGTATAAAATCGTGTTCATGACAGACAGAAGACACACGGAGGACTTTCATGGAGGATACGGAGTACTTGAGACACAGTGGCTCCTAACCAGAACAACTGGCACCTCTCCTCTGCAGATGGACACACAGGTGGGCTCACAGGTGGAGAAGGAAGGGGGAAGCACTGTGCCAGTTATATGTCCTGCTCAGAGAATGTGTGTATGTGTGCAACATCTGGACCATGGTCCAGTGACATGTTAGTAAGGGTATTAATCACTGAAGCTACACTGCACCCTTCTGGGCAGCAACAGCATCACAAGGCCAAGACAACCAAGATTAAATGCCATTTAATAGAGAAAAAAAATGAATTTACAATTTACAAAAAAAATATTTTATTTAAATATTTATTTTAAACAAAAAAATGTGTTGCCAAAAATTTTTTTTTCCTTTTTATTTTGATAAACGAACCTTCACTGAGAAAGATATCAAACATCTGCATACATACATGAGTTATATGCAGACATATTCAATTGAAATGTAATTCTGGAATAAAACCATCCTCACTTCTTTTCTCAAAAATTCTCTAAGAAAATTCGCATCTGATACTAAAGCTTCTGCCGGTCTTACATAAATTATTTGTTCAGTCTATGAAAAGATGGGCAGGTCCAAACAATGCAATTGCGGAAAGCACGCTGGCAAATAATATTGATCGCAGCAACACAGAGACAGCTAATCAATGGATGTATGTCGTCCCCGCACAGGCTTCCAGTCCAGATCAATTTTGTGGACAGATGAGACATCTACAGATAAAGTGAAGTTTTGAACTATATCCCACTGCTATGAAATAACATAAATTCCCCAAACATATGAAAGATTGACTACGGCTATGAGAGATGGAGATGCCTGGCTGTTTGAAGTCAGAAAGAACAATCATGTTTAATGCCATAACGATAATAAATACTGCAGCCGCTGTCTCCTACCATAGTAACTTTATCTTTCTTATTTTTTGTGTCTGGTCATACACTTTTATATCACTTGCTTTCTGGCCTCACATCATGAACCACCAGATGATTTATTGATTTCAACACAGTCTCCAAATAACCTGCACAATTGTTTCATCACCTTGTCATTATTGCCCCGTGATGAGTCGGGTATAAAAAAGTTGGAAAAGTCCCTCAAGGGTGTCTCTTTCAATATTGCACAGATTGGCACATTACTTTTCATGTATTGCAGTCTCATAAGAGGTTATAGGGTTGTTAGTGGCTCACTGATTGCATGGGCAGCTGACAGACATAAATTTCACACCCATTGGTCTTTTTTTCTTCTTGCATTTCATTTATTGATGATCGTAAAAGGTACTCTTACAGTACTTGCGTATAGGTTTTAAAGAGTTGTCCGGAAATGTCTGCCATGGTACCAAATGTAACTATTTGATCTTGTTTTTGTTTGTTTTTCTTAATCTTGTAATTAAGAACAGGTCAAATAGAGAAATGGCAAAGACACATTTAATTCATTTTAACACATTCATACAATATACACAACAAAAAAATCTTTGCCTCGATTTCAGTCACACGCAAATGTTGCGGACTTGCAATAAAAATAAAAACGTTCAAAACAAAGGTGGAAAGCAACATTACTCTCCAGAAAACAGGCTGTCTTACCACAGACCAAGAAAGTGAGACAGAAATAGCCCCAGATATATATATAGATGGATACTAAACTGAACCAGTGGTAAAAGCCACAAACATAAGCCACTGGGTTCAGCACAAGCTGCAAGTCAAAGGCACAAGTCAGCTCCAGGAGCATGGTAGGTCATGGGTCAAAGGCAGAGAGAATAAATAGATTTTAAAGGGAAAGATTGCACACCAACTACAAAGACACTGGACTGTGCCTCAGCCTCGTTTCAAAAGGCATATTTTTATCACTGCTTCAAAAGCCAAGAGAATTCATCTCGCCACTGTTTTTAATGAAAGCCTAAGATGGACATTATTAAATATTATTCTTTTGTTTAATTAGAAATTAAGTCATTTTAATTATTAATAGAATATTTTCAACAGATCAGTCCGCGCTGATATCCGAGGCACGAGCGAAGGCCCGTGCTCCCGGTACTGCCACTAGAGAGTTGAGTCTTCTTTCACAAGATCGATACGCATTTCATCTGGACATTAAGATACACGATTGCATATGATGTTCTTTGATTGAATGAAAATAGTAACACCTTACAACTACTAATAGGAAGATTCAAGGACAACACCATGTCTAAAGATCATAGAATAAACATGTCCTGCAGCACTTGTGACCCACTTGGTTAAACAAGTAGTTAAGACACCAAAAACAATGAGAAAAAAATCAATAACCGGTTCACTCACTCCTCAGATTTGGCCTGTTAAACAATATGCATACATCTCAAATGCTTTAAAACTCAATTAAAACAATGTGGCAGCAATATTACACAAATTAAATATATACAATGAGGTTAAAATGTTACAATTTAATAACTGTCACAGCTTAATTTAGCTGTATTTATTACATATTGCACAAATTTATCATCACGTATATATTATATATTAGAGAATCCTACAGAAAAGCTTATTTTTATGTAGCAAAAGATTTGTGCCACATCATAGCATTACTAGCTGTAATACTGCCTTCAGATTCAACATTAAACATAGTAAGCAGATGCTTTTCACACACAGAACAGCCTGAGAAAGAAGTTACCTGAGGAATAGTAACAAATACTGAAGAGGACAGCACAAGGCAAATTCTTTATGGCTAAACATTGTTACGTGACACTATGTTACAGAAATGAGAGCATGTCATTTGTAATGATTAACCCACAAGCTTTTGTACCAACGAGTGAAGCGTACCTGCCTTTTCGACAAGGATCAAGAGAAGATGAGTTGGACGGTCATTACTTTTACAGGAGCTTAAAATACCCCCAAGCTATCATGAAGACAACGGTGTGTTTTATGGAAACACACCATCATTTGTTTGGCGTACCCAACATTCAACGTGCTGTTTTCTCAAAAACATAACAGCTGAATGGCATGAAATTCACAGTTTGCAGATTCCCTTTTCCAAAAAAATGTATAAAATTAGTTACTTGTAGCAACAAAATAAACTTTAGACAATTTTTCTTTTTTTTAAAGTACCCCAAAAACTTATCTTATATGATTTTAATATTGCTGTTATGGTTTGAGCACATACTGTTATTTTGGTGCCACAGCCTGACTGGGGTTTAACGACATGACAGCCAAATCTAGCTGAAGTCATAAAGACACTGCTATTTGAACAGTTAGCATTTTGTTGTCTTAAGACTTGTCTGTCCTCTGTATATTACTGCTGTGCAGCGCCTCACCATACATAACCTCAAAACTGACAAAAAATAAGATGCTTTAATGTCTTTTTAAGTGTAGTAAAATGATAAAATGGTACAAAAATGCTGAGCACCAGTAACACAAATATCACATATTTGTATTAATCTTGGGTTAAGATGAAAACCTGTCAGAAGCTTCACTTTCAACATGACAAATCAATCAGAAAAGATCAATTTGTGAGACATACGCAGCATCCAAATTGGAGCAAAGGATTATTAAGTTTGCAATTCCTGTTTTTTGCTAAACCCAAACAAAGTATGCAATTTCATCCAGATCTACAGGATAGTCTGTAAGGTGCAGTGGCTCTTTGATGTCAAACCTCTCCCCCTTGTAGCTCCTCCAGTGGCCAGCAGGGAGGTAGATGTCGCGTTCTTGCTTCCCAGGCTCCAACACTGGCGCTACCATGAGGTCATCCCCAATCAGGAACTGGGAATCAATTTTATAGGCTGTCTCGTCACCTGTGGCAATCCACCACAGGGGGCGTATGATTGGGTCCCCAGTATCAACCACCTCACTTGCCAGCTCCAGGACCCGCGGTGCCACAATACTTTCATGGAGGGCCGTGTATTTTCGAGCAATCTCAACCACCTCGTCTCCATATTCCCATGGCGGAACTGAAAACTGCATAGAGGGCATGAAGGCCGACAGCTCCAACCACCGGATATACAGCTCCCGGTCAGGTAATGTGTGCCTTCCGTCAGTGCGGTTTAGATAGGCGTTCCCTCCGATCATGTCTGGGAGAATGAACTGGTACCCAAGAATGCTGATGGTGAGCACGGTGGGAATAAGGGATTTGAGACCCAACTCATAGCCCCACACAGAATCTCTGTCAATTGGTCTGAAGAAGCAGGAGATGTTCTGTGATTGATAGCCGCTGCGCAGCTCAGCTCTATCATTGTAGAGGATGGCCATTTCGGTGTAACGTCTGGTGAAAAAACTTGGGTCCCGAATCGGAGTCCGGGTGCTAAATTTCCACGGTAAGTAGTTTGTCTCACCTGCGTCAAACTTAAAGGAGGCCACTCCGTACCTTGAACGCAGTGAACGTAGCTTGGAAGCAAACCACTCACGGGCCTCTGGATTTGTGAAGTCCAAAATTCCACCAACGCCATTCCACCAACGTACCAGAGCTGGTAGTCGGCCAGTAGGCTCTCGAACAAACAAGTCCCTTTCTACACAAGTATGGAAGTTTGCGGAGTCATAATTAACAAAAGGGTGAATCCACAGAGAAACCAAAAATCCATCCGTTTTCAACTTTTGGAACATGTCGGAGGCATTGGGGAACTTGACTGGATCAAATTCAAATTCTCCATAGTGGCTAGTGTAGCCATCATCTAGTTCCAGATGGCTACAGTTAAAGTTATATTTGCGGATGTTAGCGGCATATTCCAATAGTTTCTCTTGATCTATTTTAGTTTTATGTAATGCCCAGGTCGACCAAATAGGATGGCTGAACATGACTTTGGCAGGCACTTTGTATGGTTTATTGAAGTACCTGCGAACCATGTACTTGTGTATGGATGTCACATCCAGACCAACACAAACTCTGTAGCTAAGTTCAGCACATGGTGCCTCCCCGGGGTTTGGTTTAAACGGACTATCATTGTATCGTGCCTGGAAGTACATAGTCTTCTCAGTATCATTCCAGCCAAGATGAAAAGGCACTGAATTATTGATCTTGATGGCAGTAGCATTGGATGAAAGCCAGTAACTCTCCAAAATGCCACCAAATTCATCACGATTTGAATAGATGTCACTTGTAACAAAGGGTTTGGGAGCCTGCTGGCCTGAGAGGGAAATAGGCCAGTGCTGAATAGCTGACACTGCACCTCCATACCAGTGTGCAAACTTGTAGGTCATGGCATGCTCAACAGGTATATCTGGAACAAGCTCCTCCCAACGCACACGGTAACACTGCACAGTGTCCTTAGGTCGTACGGTCTCAATGAAAAAGTTCAGTTTTCTGTCAGTGGTGCGTCCACAGCTCAGCATCTCTCCTTCTTTAGAGCAGGAGTCCAAATCAAGGGTTCCAGATCTGCCAAGATTAAAAATTATTATATTAAAAATAATTTCCTAATAGAAACCCTAATTTTTTAAAATAAATGATTGCCGTATTTAAATCAAACATTCCACAGTCAAATTTTACAATGTTTTGGTTGCTTTTGAAAAATTCAAATAAATCAGATTTTACTTACAATGTAAAATGACATACCTGAAGTCCATTCTGAAAACAATAGACCCTCCTTGATTGCGAATAATATAGCCATCTTTATTCAGATCCAACAGCTGAGTCTTCAACAGCTCAGCTTTGCGTAGAGAGGCTATGTAATAACACCAGGCAGTTACAGCCGCGATCACCAGCACCAGACCAATGACTCCGGCTCCAACCAACGGTCGGGTGTCCTTTGTGTGTTTCTGCTTGGGGATGACATCCGTAATAGTGCCCCCAGCTCCTCCTGGTACTACTTGGTACATGACTTGTGATGTTCAGTGGCCAATTCCCTGAGATGATGTTTCACGGACCATCAAAATGTTTGGCACAGGGCCTCTTTCGCAGCCTCGTTATTGACCGTTTGCCTGCCTGTCATCAGAGTAAGAAAGAAAAGTCAGCAAGTCCCAAAGTATTCTCTTGTGTAGTGCACTCATCTGACGTCATTCAGAATATACTATATCAAATTACTGAGAAATGCAGAAAAACATCAAGGGCATGGAGAGATGCTGTAAATCTTTGTTTTCCTATCAGTCCAAAGCCTCTGTTGTATCTAATATTCACTGTTTTACTGGCTCTGATGTTGCTGAACTAACTCATTTCACATTGCTTAAGAGGTATTAGCCTTTCAGGGTGTAACTTTAAAGATGTGTTGGAGATTTAACAAAAAAATATGCTGCCAATTACCCTGAAAAAGAACGAAAAATAGACGTTCCCTGCTGTAACTTCAATGTACGAGTTAAATTGAAGGAAGACTCATTTGTATGTAAGGAAGTAAAGAGAAGTAGAAAAGGAGATTTTGGCCCTTAAACCTCTGCTGATGCCAGGAGAGAAGGAAAGAATACTAAACACTGTGCTCCATCAAGCCTGATTAACCAAAGCGACCAAAACCTGGATCTGTCTGATTAAGTATGAAAACACTAGGAACAAATACAGGAAAACAAGTGAGAAAACATAAGAGAAGACATGGACGTATAGCCGCTGCATTCCATTGCACCTTCAAAGAACTCCCAAGCAAGCAAGGTAACCAAGGTAAAACTCCTTTGAGTAATTAACTAGCCGACATTAGTTACGGTGGCTTTAGCTAATCGTAATTTCATTGGACTGCTCGGGGAAACATGGGCAGTTCAGTTCTCTCCAACTTACCTGTTTGCTGACTAGTCCTAACGGCAATTGACCCTCATGCTTTACTTTGGCAGTGGGGGTCGATAGTAAAAAAATGCTGGCTATTATTTAGCAATCTAATTGACTAATTCTGTGTTGCACCACACTTAGTATAGATTTCCCACAAGAGCTGGAGTGATAGTGTAAGTTTGCTATTAATTAACGGAGAGGAAAGTGTTGGTTCCTAAGAGATCCACACAAGCTGCCGGACTGGGCAATTGACCAGAAATACAATCAAATGATCCAAAGTATTTTAGACCCCTACCCATTATAATTCTAATGGAAAAGTGTAATCACAGACCTAAGACCTCAAATAATGCAACCCAGAGCCTTCAGACAGGGAATTATGCTTCCAGGAGGGTTCAACTCAACGGTTGAAAAATATGTTTGATCTAAAATAATTAAACAAATATTTCCAAGACTCATTTAAAAACTCATTTGTTGCCTGATGCCCTGATAATAATGGGCTATCTTTAAATCAGTCCGTGTTTTGGATTATCAACAGAAAACTGAAGAGTCTTGCACTTTTTTTTTGTTTACACCGAGATTACAAGAGGTCAATTTCTGCTCTTTTAGCTGATCCATTATCTGACGTGCGGAAAAATAAACGCCAAAGTGCTGAGGTGGTCAGCAGCTGTTTAAGTCCCACTGAGTGAGGGGCTGTGTAGCTGCATGCTAATTCTGGCGCTGTCCTCACTCTTAATCAACTTCATCACGCGCGGCACAATTACTCACGGTGGAGTCCCTCTCGTGCAAAGCCTGTTGTTGAGAGAGTTTACCCTCCCAAATATTTGGACTGCGTCCAAAGCGCACTCTCCTCATTAATACACACATGTAATGTGATAAACAAAACACCGTGACAAACCAGTGGTTGCTTTGCCTGAGCACAACGAGAAACGAAAAGTTAACGGAGAGAAGCAATACTTGGTATTCGTGCGCGCATAAATATTAGCTACGGCGAATTCAGTTGTTTGTTTGTTTGTTTGTTTGTTTTTACTTCGTTCGTTGAGAAAGTGTTTCGCCTACCTATCAGGGGCAGCCTCCTTCGAAGAATAACTTTGTTTGGCACAGTCCAACGGAGAAGCCCAACAGGAGGACTCAAGGCGTGTAGATGCGTCTCCGCCTTATCTACGCCCACGGCGACATGGGAAATGTAGTCTGTTTGAAAAAGTCTTTATCTTTATTTACTCACTGCCTAAGTTACGGACAATGGAAAAATTAAATCAGCGGACGGTGGTTTAATTACATCACACAAAAAAAACTGCCGATATACACAAATGACAAACAGAAAGCAGGCTTTGCAACGAATCAGCATAAATATATTGTATTTATGCACTTTTGGAGTCCTCCTCCATGTTCTTTATTTTTCTTTGTATAATTTATATTCTTAATAGTACATTCACGGCACCAACAGTGCTTTAACTGAAAAACAGCCCTGGAACACAGTTGGATTGATACAGAACATACACAAAACTCCATCATCAGGAGGCTAAAATTAGGAAGGATACCATCTTAATTTTTCACAACTTATTTAACTGGGTTAAGTAGCACTAATTAAACAATAGTTTCCATCCCTCATTCCCTCATTAGGAATTTCCACAGGTTCCCTAAAGGACAGAGCTCCACCATTCCTAATATAGACTCTCAGACACAAATTCAGGATGTATGATGTAGTGTCCAGCTTGGTAGGGCCTCACCACATGGAAGCAGCTGTAGCAGCCACTGTTGAGAAATCACATGAACCACAAATCAAACCTTGGTAGTGTTATTAATGAGTTTTTTTAAATGTTTTAATTTTTTTTTTAAGCAATGGGATTGCTCACACCTATAATCCAGAGAGCTCTTGGAGCAACACTTGCGGAATTGTGTACGTTCCAAGCGGCTGGGAGCTGCAGCTGTAGTCTGGGGTCTTGTCTGAAGCTGAGGTCCTGCTTGTTGGCTGAAATCAATTACATTCTCTCTATGCCATCACAATTGCATAACTTTTCTAATTATTTTGTTGTGTCTATTAGTTCATACTGTTGTTTAAGGGGTTCTGTAGCCTCCAAAGTACAAAGGTTGTTTACTTACACAAGTTGCAGAGCTGTGAGTGAATTGACATTTCTCTGATTATCCACTGTCCTGCAGAAAGAATCCATCTGAATCAGTGTGTTTTATAGTTATCTGTGAGCCATAGCTTAATCTGTTTAATAATTACTTTAGGGGGTTCTTCAAAGTGGTGTGATGCTGAATGCCAGGGCCAGCACGGTGCCTGGCCAGCTGTAGTTTCTGCATCATGTCAGCAGATGGCAGAGATTGTGTCTTGCCTGCACTGACAGGAGGCATGTGCTGTGCTTTGCCAGCATTATTTGAGGTAAGGGAGGTTTCCAGACAAGCTGTTACAGGATTATGAAATGAGAAATGTCTCAGAGGTGGGAAAAGGGGACCTCCAATGCCCACTTGGGTCAGGGGTTGTGACAGTGCACATGTTGGTTTGTAGCTCTTTTGAAGACTGTGAGGAAACAGGAAGTCCTGGAGAGGGGAAAAAAGAGGTACATAGGAAGGCATTTTGAAAAGTAAAAAGAGAGAGTTCTGGCCGAGATATCTTCATTCTAGACGGCTTGTGTTCTATTTTCACCATTACCTTACCACATTCATGTTTTTCTTTTTGATCAAACAAATGATGAAATTAACTACAGTATATACAAACTTTTTTCTCTCTATTCTATATAATTTTTTCCCAGTGAATTGCCCACAGGAATCCCTTTTGAGATGCCCCTTAGATTTCCCTTGTGTGTTTTATTTCATTGCAGTTATCATCAGCACAAAAAAATTACATCGTTGACCATGCGGACCAGTTTTGCATCTATCTCTCATCACAAAGCTTTTTGAACATCATTAAGTCATTTGTGTAAAATACATTCACAGGATTACAATGAGGAACACTACAGTGTGATCCATTTTTCTTTGCAGAACTTCGATCGATAAAGATTTTCTATTATTCAACATGATATTGAGGTTTTCTGGACACATATTTTCTGACTAATTTGGTACATCAATGCATGATTATGAGTAATCATTCTGTCCTGATAGCATCTCTATCCATGCGTGTCACACACAGGGCTGTGCATCTTACCTGTCGTGGCTGTGGGTTGTTCCTGCGGTGGGCTGATGTTGGTCGAAGTTCTGTTCTTTTTACTTTGCCAGGCAACCTAAACTGTTCTTTGTAGATTGTGGTGTAGAGCTGGGGAGCCATCGTCACTAACAGATTTGGTGTTTTTTCTTCAGCTTGCCTCCAGCCTGAATGAAACCTATGCAGAACCCTTCTCCTCCCTGCAACCTAGTACCACCCCTTTTACCTTATTTGCATACCCCCTGCTTTTACTCTCTGTTATTAGCTGTTTTCGATTGGCAAATATCTGCGTGTTTTGTTGTTGTGATTGCAGTTTCTGTGTACTGTCATGTTCTGGGTTTTAGTGTTGCAGTCCATATGATCTCTCCTGCAACAGTAGCAATAAATCCTGCATGGGCATTCTTGTAAATACCAAAGTTATCAAAGTTTTTTTTTTTAACCAGTTGCTATTGTGAGGGTGATGAATCTAGTCTGTTGGGACAGGTTAAGAGCATCCTTGCTGAACCAGAACACCTCTTTGTGCTACCTGAGCACTCAGTCACTAATACCCCTGAGCTCTAAGCCCCCCACAGAGACACACATACCTGGGGTCACTGTCCTTGACCTGGTTCCCTCCCACCGGCCTGCACCAACAAACAGCATGGACCTCTAACACTCACAACTCACAAAAAGTCTTATCAGATCGACAGAACTGGAACAAGACAGAAGTGGAGCTAGGCTTTAAAGAGTCTATCGCCATCACACACTGTCACCTCATTTCACTGTCAGCATGCTTAAGCATTAATAATTCACCAAGCGCTGTAGGGAGCCATTGTGTCTGTGCTGCTCTCACTGAGTTATCTGTGACAACAACTGGCCGTTCGTCCATTGCAGTGGTTGGGCCTCATTTGAAAGCTGCATTTGAAAGCTGCACAAAGCCCAGTCCATGAAGGCAGACACAGAGCAAGGGCCATGTGGAATTAATGCAACGATGCAACAGAAATATTCTGAGAGGGGCTAAAAATCTGATCCAAGTTGTGATTTGTTTTCTGAGCTTTAAATGACACACACCCTTCATTAGAAATGATTAAAAAATCCTTTTATTGCAATCTTGAATCCAAACAAAGTGTGTTCAAAGTGTTAAAAGAGTTTTTTGTATAGTATAAGACCAAAGGTACAGACATCTATAAAAAGCTTTTACATGGCAAAGCAAATGCAAACTTCACAGGATATGCATGTGCTCATTCTGAGAAGACTCCTGTAGAACAGCTTCTATGTTCTGCACTTTCAGTGGTGCATAGGTCCAAGATGTGCAGAGTAGACTTTAAAGCCCTTGTCACAGCCTCCGCATTCACAGTCTTACAGATTTTACTGCTGCTTGGATTTAACTGCTGCCTTAATTTTTGTGTAAAGAAATCCAAAATTCTGGAAAAGACACAAAACAGACAACAAATTATATGTAATATATAATATATATATAATATAAATTCAAATTATAAATCATAATAGATATAATTATAATTTATAATAGATATGAGTATTGCAACAAACCTGGATTATGTAATAAACAATCCCCAAATATGCAGCGATGCAGCCACCCAGGAACAGATCAAAGGCTGCTGGTTTCACCCTGGAAAGAAATTAGCATCAGTATCCTGAATGTTTTATTGAATTCAGCTTGTGCATAAAGCTACTGGAGCACAGAGCTTTACCTGTACATCACTACTGGTTGGTTCATTTGATCAAAAAAGGTGATATCAGGGTCCCTGGGTGATGAAATATAAAAAATAATTGTATAGTTTTATTTCCTCACTAAGTGAAAACAACTAGAATTATGCTGCACGTATCACCTCTTGTCCTGTCTGAAGGTGTGTCTGTGGACTTGCTGTAGATAACGTTTGAACTCGTGCTCCAGAGAATTGACCAGCAAGATTTGACTGCTCTCCTTATCCAGGAGCTGGGTGGCCCGAGGGACTGACGTCAAGAAGGACATCAGATTAGACATACGACTGTCCTGGAAATCCTGCATGGAGGTCACAAATGTGAGTTCACAGAGGGGAGAAGGTGGGAAACATTTCATAAGCTATCACGAAGAGGCAAACGTTCTTTCCTGCTGAGTCAGTATGGAATTTAAAAGAAATGTACATTCTCATGAATTGGCCATGAAGCTCTGAAAATAACTGTATTATATCCTCATGTCAGTAAGCCACATGTCCCAACGTGAAAATATTGTATTTAGCTGAACCTTTTTTCAAACCTATTTCAAGAACAATGTAATGCATACATATTAACACTAGAGGGCACCAATCAGAAACTCACCAGATGGCCCTTGAATATCTGCATATCCTTTGGTGAACCCTTGATACAAAATAATAAGAGGTTATAGTACTTTAGAAATAATTTCAGTTGAATTGTGAATATGTGTTATAATAATATGCAGCATATGTTGTGTTTTTTCAAATCACCTTGTCAGAGAGATTGTACATGTACCGTGCCAGTGTTTCAGCTATAATGATGCCGTTGCGCTTAAGTTTCCGAAAATCCACCTGTGACCTATGATGTGAGATTTGTGTCAATTAAACAGTGGGATGATAAGCATTAGAGCACTGTGCAAAGGTCTTGAGTCATCCTTTGCTTTTTCATGCGAACGGTACATTTAGGAAGAGATGCATGTATTTGTTGAAAGTATTTCAAACGAAATCAGGAAAAGGAAGGGAAAAATTTCAATAGTGAGCCATCCGATTAGCTTGTTTTGGGAATCGGTTTGTTGGTGGAAAACTATTTCTTTTGGATCTTTAAAACAATGCTATCTTTCTCATTTTTGGTAGATGCAATTAAAATAAGTGGAAACAAATTATGGTCTTTAAGAGAGGCCGGGGCTGCATGTTGGTGTGGTTTCCTCACAGCAAGGGGTTTCCTGGTCTGAATCTCAACTGGGGCTCCTCTGTGTGCAGTTAACATGTTCTCCTTATATATATTCTCTCTCGGTACTCTGCTTCCTCCTACAATGCAAAAACATGTATGATTCTAAATAGCCCCCACGAATCAATGTGGCTATACATGATTTGTGATGGATCTGTGACCTGCCCAGGGTCCACCCCACAGCTTGCCCAGTGGCATCATGGATAGAATCCAGCCCTCCTGCAGTCATGCATTGGATTAAGCCGGTTTAAAAAACAGATAGATGGATAAGAAAGGCTCTTTGTGACAATCTGCCCAAAGACACTATTAAGATTAGGTTCTTCACTAAATTGTCTGTAATGTGTTGATTTAACACTGGTTCCTACCAAGTGTCTTTTTAAGGCTTGGATGATTCACCAGGTCAGTGTTAGGTTATCTAATAAACAGTAATGGAAAACGGAATAGGTACAAGGAGTGGACTTATAAACGTTACAAGTTCTCCAAATAACCCTGTGAATCAGTGAACTCATCAAAAGCACTAAGAAAACCTGGAAGCAAAATTTAAAAAACTAAGTGATCGCTCAATAATTTGCACAATACTTTCATATTTGATCATCAAAGGCATCAGTGGTACTTTGAGCTTACATTGTGTCCAGTACAGACCCACGCAACTCAGATTTGGGGTCTTCCAAATGAGACAGAGTGAATCCCTGGAGCCTCCGTAAACCGTAGCGCTCATGCTCCCAGGCTACTGTAGACTCTACAAGATTGATCTTCTTGTGAACCACTCCCACCTTCACCCAGGAAAATCGGGAGGAGATCACCTAGCGGGCAAACAGATAACAGAGGACCATTATTTCTGTCCAACAAACTCATGTTTTTTTTTGCATTAGCTGTTGTTCTGAATAAAAGTAAATCTAGTAACCTCCTCTAGCTGTCGAATGAAGGCATGCACAGGAGTGTCAGGCTTAGGAGGGCGGGACACATGTGCGTACAGTTCATCACCCTTGGCCAGCGTATCCAAACACAGAACAAATGCCACACTGTCATGGAGCAGGCTGGACTCTGCAGGGGAAATATTTGGTAGAAATGAAACAGGAGAGTTTGTGTTTGGGTTCATATTAGCACATACTCAACACATTCCTCATATTCAATGGATTGGAGAGCTGGAAACCCACCAGCATGGTCCAGGTTCTCTTCAATCCATCTCTTTGTTCCCAGGAAGTTGTATTTTCCTCCTCCAGTCAAGGAAAACATTAGATTATATCTATGACAAAAAAGTTTTGATCAGTGAGGCCTTAGATAGAGATCCATTAAGATGATGACAAGAAAATCTGAAATATTGGGTTTTGCTGCAAGGAGCCGGATGTACATAAACTGAGAGTTTTCCTTTAGGCTTATGACCTAATTTACCACTTATTATATTTTCTAATTGTTATTGTTTGTTCTCTTAAGATAACAAGTTAATTATATTTGTATTTGAATGTGATGTCTGATACACATTAATTAATTTTGTGCAAAAAAAAAAGAAGCTTAATCTGGGCCTCACCGTGGTCTAGTGCTGGAGTTACTATAAAGTTTTTGGAAGAGACGTGCCAGCTCCAGCAGGATGGTCACTCCACTACCGTTGGAGTCTGCTCCGTATGACAGCCACTGTGAGGCACAAAATCACACCCATGCATAAGGATGACGGTAAACTAAATCAGTTGACATTTTAAGACAAGTGGAGATGGTCTGATCATGTATCTGATTATGACTTTAAAGTTCAAAGTGAAGTGCTTAAGTAGCTGACTCACTGGGGCCAGCCCATAGGAGTCATAGTGGGCGGTGATGACTATGGTGGGTGAATCCTCTCCTCCTCCGGGAAGCACACCCTGCAATGACCACCACCATGATGAAGAACTAAGGGCCAATCATAGGAGGATGCAGAACTTGAACAACATTTTGTGTCAGTTCTCGTTTCTCCATGCAGAAAAAGAAAGCATCACGTTTCACACTTACTTCCAGTGTGACTATAACATTATCGCCAACAGCCTTAATGGGTGTATTGCTGCTCACTAGGATCTGAAACGCTGTGGCTGTGACCATACTCCGGAGAACTGCAAACAGTTAACAAGATATTTCAAGTAAAATATGTTTTCCATATTTGTATTCATCACACTACACAACAAAAGTTGTATTGAAATAGAACATTCATTGGACTATACATTCATATGTGATGCTGCACGTCTTACCTCTGACAAATATGGACGAGGTCCGTGTGGCTGCAGCCTGCTTGACCTCCTCATACATGTAAAGCAGCTGCTCATCCTCAGGTGTAACATACACTGGAATGAGGCTTTCCCCCTGCAGAGCCTCACTCTCACTCTGCATAAAGGCCTGGAAGAAGTAAACGGATGTTTTGTGAATAGTCTAAAATTCCAAAATGAATTATATCAGAGATGTTGTTGTTGTTTTTATTTGCTTGCTGTTTTAGAGCAGCCAATTCATTACCTGTGTGGTGTCCGGAGGGATGCTGGAGATATTTTTTGGCAGCAGGATCAATATAGCAGCGGCGTTTTGCTCCTGGGCCTCCAGATATTTCTCTGTAGTAAAGTCCTGTACCTTCATGACCACACAGCGGCGGGTCAGTGACAGCTCATCAGCTGAGCGTGCCTCCGCCACAACAATAGCTCCCCGGCAACCTGAGGGGAGAAAAAAATGAAGGGAATTTAGACAGAAATGTCAAATATCATTAAAAATCCTTCATGTCAGCTTTTTTCTTCCTGTGTTTTCATTTCAAAGTACAAAAGCATTTTGGAAACTGATGTCATGGAGAATGGTCTTCTCTTTATACTTGAGTACATCATGATGTCCATAACAACCAACTCATACTTAATGCCAGTGCACAGATATTTTTCACAAAGAAAAATATGGTCACAGTGCAAAGTTTAAATAGATTTAGTCACAGTTCCACACTTAGAAATAAGTGTGGAACTTAGAAATATATCATATAATATTCAAGGAGATATACAATATGTAAGAAGTATACATGTTAATATAATATATACACTCTTGTACACGAGGGGATAAGTTGAAACTCTACAGAATGAATACTTCAAGTACACAAATAAGATTAACAGGACAATGCTTAGCATGAGAAATGTGCAACCAAAGATCCAAATACAGATGGATGTTTTAGCCGTAATGTGCAAATCTTTGTTTAATGAAAAAAGAGTGCAGAGCGAAGAAAGAAAAGAATAAAAAAGACAGAGACTGATCAATATGTCTTTAAATTCCTTTGCTCTCATATCAATATTTCGTACTTGAAGAGGAAAGCCTGGTTTTGAATACATGCACATCTAAAGCAAAATCGGCATAACAAGAATTGCTTGCTGCAAGCATGGCACCTTTCTTACCATGCTTTTGCTGTCCCAAATTGTACTGTTGCATCCTATAGGCGGTGAACTCGTAGGAGGATACAGCAGTGAGAGCAGAGCCATGCAGGTGCTGCACACAGAGCACCAGAACAGCAGCAGCAACACCGCTCAGCAACATCCTGTCTCGTCTGGCTTCAGTCTGTGAGGGAATCGTGTTGTTAAATTTCATACAGCTTGAGGGCACATAAACATGTAGAGGTAAAGACATGATGTGCCTTTATTGTGGAACGTAGAGAGGATTCAGGGGAGATTCAGCAGGCCAGACGAGAAGCAACAGCAATGTGTTACGTTACAACCACCATTTTAACAGCAACCGGTGGCTGAGGATGAAGCATTTGGCTTGCCTTATAGTGAGTTCCACACTACTAACTAACATAAATTTTCATATACAACTATCACTATGAAAGGAATGATAGAAGGAACCCATTTTTCTCACCTGCCTCCCTGCAGTTTTATCTCATCAGCCTCGTTTCACAGCCCTCTTCAAAATCGGTGTCACCTGTTGCAACATGGACATGCTCCTCTGTTAGCTCCTTGGATCCAAAGCATCTAGGTAAGCCACCATTCACCATCTGCTCCCAGGGGATCAACTCAAGGCTAATCACAAATGCCCTACCCCCAAACCCTCACACTCTCTACTTCTTTACCTTCTATCCATCAATTTGTCTTTCTCCATCATACCTTTCCTAGCTATTATATCACTGACTTCAACATGTAAACACCAATCCCGGGCACAGATTGTGTAGGAGGCACTTGTCTCATCTCCTGCAGGGATGACTGATTGAGTCTGAAGAAGTGTTTTGCTGGGAGAAAAGAAACTAATGCCTAGTAAGACAATGCAAAGAATTTGAAAGGGACCTGGTACCATCAAAGTTGAGATATCTAATATTTATTTTTTTTACATGTTGCACTATACACACAACTGTAACACTGTTACAATCTAAATGGAACCGGTTCACAATCATGACAAGTATTTGACAAGTTAAAATAAGAAGGGGAAAAATGAGCACACAACTGCATATAAATAGCTTTTGTTACAAGAGATTATTCTAAAACTCAAGAAATTGGTCAGGCTGCTTCTTTATTTCTACATCAGCTGTGAGTATTGCACACAGTAGAGGAAACCTGCGATGACTCGTGTGCAAATTCCCCCCAAAAGAAGTTAGTGATAGAAAAGATGCAAAAACATGGTCAGTCTTCTGACAGCTGCATGAATGACATTTTAAGTTGAAATCTTTTGACATTTTACAACTCATTTCTCTTACAACACACATGGCACCTTTCTGCAAAGGAGGTCTAAGTAAGGTTTTCTATCTCAAACTGGTGGAATTCATCAGAGGAAACTAAAAGGAGATGATATTTAGCATTTCGTTTCCCAAATTCATAATGTTGGGCATCATACAGTGCCATACCTTTGTGCGTTCGTTCCCCTTCACAGCACTTTGTACCTCCATTAAGTGAGTTCCTGACCTTGCTTTTGTTGTTACTTCTGTTGGCCTTTGTGATTTTTCAACATTCAAAAGCAATTTATTAGTTATGGCAGTTGGATGCATGATTAATTAAAACAAAAAGCAGTTTGAAACAAATAAAATTGATATGAGGTTGTTCATTTAGTGCAACCGTTTTTCAGTTCCCTTGAACATCATATTGTCAAGCAATGCATTACAAAGTAAATTACATGGACACTGTTCACAACCTATCACCCCCTAAGCCTGATGAGTGTTTAGAGAAGCTACTTTAAAAATCACTATTAATCAATTATTATTATGGCTAAGATATGGTTCACTTCTACAGCTCGTGTTTTTGAGAGACTCAGAATAAACCTCCATGACACCGTTACCTCAGAGCAGCATTGAACAACCACAGTCTGCCAATAAAAGAAGCACACGTCTACAGAGCTTACCAAAGGTCTGTAGAGTACTTCGCACCTGAAAATAAGAATACAACAGTGACTTAGGCTTCCTTAAACTAAAATAACGGTGAATGGCATACTGTAAAGCATTGACAATGTACGGACAGCTGCATCTGGTGCTACATTTAAAGTTCTTGTTCACAGATTATACAAATGAGTCGTGTTATAACCCATGAGGATTATACACACATTTATAATCCTAGAAAAAAAAATGAAGTAGATTTGAAAATAAAAAACATTTGAGCCTCTCTATAGTTAAGAGCACTGCCCTATTTAAAAAGAAAAGAAAATAACTATAAAAACGTTCCCATCCAAGCAATTTGGCATCACTTCATACACATTCCTCATAGCAGGTATTACAACAGAAACTGTACAATTCTAAGATTTTTTTTCCCCCGTATCAGTGCATTCCCTCACCATATATGAACGATATTGTAGCCATCAGTGATGAACGCTAACATTGGTAAACACACATAAACTACGCATTAATTCATGAGCTCCCTTCTTTCAGAACTAGAGAGTTTTTCTAGGTCTACAGATGCAACAGTAGGTGTACCTAAACATTTTTCATGTGGACGTGGCTAAACGGAAACTGATCAAATCGTCTGCACATCTGTCTTCAGGACACAGCGTTAACAGGCAACATGCATTTTCAGCTTATTTGGACACAATAAAAAACAGGTTTAAGCAGTGCGATCTCAGTGTAACAGATGGATTACTACCTTAGTGTTGGATGTGAGCACTAGCGTTTTATAGGTGCCTTGATGGTGTCGCACGATTTCCCTGGGAATGACCAGACATACAAGTATTCAAGTTTGACAGACATATACACACGGGAATACAAAGCAGACTGGCTGAAAGAGGTGAGAAAAGAGGAAAAGAACTGGCCACCAGCAAACTCCCAAGCTTCTTTCTTCCCTTGTCAACAACCACCAATAACTCAGCCAGTGGAAGGGGTCGACCAATCGGATGGTCCTTTGACACAGTAATGACACCTTGAACTTTGGTTGATTTCCTCTCATCCCGCTTTGTTGTTCCTCTTCTTCTACAACGTCGCACAATCCTTAAAGGTCCTTGTAAACCAAACAATCCGCAAGCAAGACATGAAGTCAAATGAAGGAGAAGCGAACGTAGCATGTTTTCCTCAGAGGTAATGTTTCTGCCGTCAGTCGAGTCCCCTCTGAACCAACATTGCAGAAGAGAGACCAACAGATCCTGCCATAGGAGGAACATGCACAGGTACTGTACATATTCAGTTTCTCATTTTCTAGATCGATAGACCGTTGCTTTTCCCTTTGTGCCTCAGCCGGCCAGAAGTTTTTGCTTCCTTGATGCCAGTGCAGGAAGGGCGTCGGATGGGGAAGGGGGGGATTATTGGATTTGACAGGCGGTAGAGGGGGCAGCCTGACAGCACATGCAGGTGGGGTTGACTGCTTTAGGGGGGATCAGATCCAGGTCCTCGTCATCTGGAATCTCATCGAGCCGGTACCCGTCTTTCAGGAGCTGGATGTTCAGGTCCTGGTTGATTTGCTGCAGAGGGAAAAGTAAAAAAATACATGAGCAGAACCTCAGGACGGCTCTGCCAATGACTAATGAGCAGGAATAAGATTATATAAAACTAGTTCAAATGTTTTTGTTATTCAACGAAGAAAATAAGTAAATACTGTGTCAAATTATCAACATTTTTCAGGAAGCAGAAACACAATCGGAAATAGTCGCATCGCTGATGGTGGTGGGAGGAAGCAGGAGAAATGAAGAGTAATCTATTCCAAAGACAATTATGGAGAACTCATTACAAGTGATTATGAATACTTGGAGGAGACAGAATACAGTGTTTGAATGAGTGCACATACAGTAAGCCTGGCGTGACACAGGAAGAAGGTGACTACATGGTGATGTTTGTGGTTTCACCAGATGACGCTTTGAAACAATATAATATGTGCATAGATACCTGGTCCCTCAGACATCTCACCTCGGCTGAGGAGTATCCTGATGAGGAGTATCTAGACATGTCAAAGTCATCGTCACTGAAAGACAGACGACATGTTAAGTTAGAGACAAAAGATTAACATTTTCAAATGAGAAATCATGATGTCTGAAACATTAAATGAGCATTTCACCAATATATCCATCATCTGTCAGATGTAATAAATTACCACCAGAAAAAACCTAAACTACGTGTTTTGTAAAGTCTCTGGTCTATTTTTGTTCTCTATAAAACCAAATTGTGGCACCTAAAAAGAAGAAATACATCCTAGCAAACACTTTGCTGTGAATCTCTTCTACATTCAGAAAATATAACACGCTCTTAACTTAGTTTGGAGGTGGACTAAAGTACTGGGGCTTTATCTCTTCGGAACTAAAAGACTGTAGTGTGCCAGGCCTTGGAGATATGAGAGAGGAACATATCACAGGCCACAGGACATGATATGATGGAACAGAGTTAGGGTTCTATGCACTGAAAAAAATATGTTTGTGCACGTGGTTTACATAAAAGCCCTATCGATTTCACATTTTAACAAGCACAGATAACACTGTGACCCAGCTTTAAAATGAACGAGTGAACAGATAAACATTTAGTTTGACAAACAGTCTAATGTCCATTGATTTCTTTTGAAGAGTTTTAGCATCACAGTAATGCAGCTCACATCCTATTCCCCCAAACAATCTGAGGCTCTTGCACTGTCAACAAGAACAACAAGGAGCCATTGTCCAAAGGACATGCGCATTAATCCAAAATGTGGACAATGAACAAGCCAGTGCCCAGTGTTGCTGTGAGTCAAGCAGCTTTGCAGAGAGTTTATGATGCAATGCATGATGTAAGCGTTGTGGACTGCCAGAGATCTCACTTGACATGACAGGGATTGCCTCATGTAGCAACATACAGGGGGTGTAGGAAGAGTGGGGCTCATCTGTGTCAAATATGGAGCTGTTGGTCTGGGTGGGATTGGAGTGAGTGCTCTCTCTGAGCTGCTTTTGAATGTCCAAATCCTCACCCCACTGTCCTCTAATCCTGAGCCCAAGGAGAGGTTTTGCGCCCTTTATAAGAACCCTCTTTTAACAGCTCTTTATAGATTGATGTAATAAGAAAACAGAAAAAGAGCTTGGAGAGAAATTGTAAAATTTCCCCTCAAGTCACTTCTGCTGCCCAGAATATGAGTGTATTGTTTTTTGTGATGAAGTGCACTTGCTTACCTGTCCGTGTCCAGTGCTACCAGAGGCTTCTCATCTGGACTCTGATCTAAAGAAGAGTAGCCTTTGTTTGGCACCACCAACCTAAAAACAGCACAGACCGCTCTTGTATTAGAGGTTGAAAAATAAAAACATTCAATATTTCTGACCAATGAATACAATGAAACACCCAGAAAATACTTGATAATGTACACTTAATAAAAATCATTAGAAAAACAAACTGCACATATGTGACATATACCCCCCCTCCCCCTACCCCCCACCCCCTACCCCGCCCTATATTAATCTGTGGCCTTCCAACTGCTGGCAGTGCTAAATTATCTTTCCGCCTCACAGTTTCTGGGTTCAGATCAGTGGGTAGCCTTTCTTATATTTCCACTAATCCACCAGGGAGTGGGATTAAACAGATGAGCCGGTTGTCAGTGCTGTGGGCCGGACTGGGTTTATGCTTGGTGGTTTAACTTCTTTTTTTGGGGGTTTTGTTGATTTGAGTTTGGTTTTTTTAGCAAATCTTTTAATTTCTTTTTCTCTTGCTGTGCACTACTTGTGTTTAAGCTGCAACATTAGGAAGTATGACGGCTTTCCAACCCAGCTGGCACAATTTAAGCCTTAACAAACACGACTCACAGCGATCACGTTCTGCATTTGAGCCGTTTGCATTATTCTGTACCGAATGGTGAACAGAAGGTGCAAAAACATTTGGCTTGTAATGCTAATGAATGCAAAGTGTAGCGTTTGTGTCTGAATCGGTCTACATAACAGTGAAATGGGAAGGCGGGGAAAGTTGTTACCTTGTCCTGGCATTCTTCTTGGGTTGCTGATTGACAGGACTTCCCACTGTGCCATTCTTCACCGATGCCTTCCTAGCGAGGTCCCTCTGTTTCTCTGGGCAACACAGGATGTGAAGTCATCAGTAAACACATCAGCTCAGCTAAACTCATTTCCCATTAGTGGATGTGTCATTCTATTATATTCCTTTTAGGAATTAAAGGCATTTGAAACAAAGCTGTTATGCAATTAGATTTGAAAATATAAGGTAAAAAGAACAAATAGTATAGGACTCGTCTTTGTAGCAAGCAGTGGAAACTATCTGATACCAGGTCTCCATTATCACATGACGTATATTAATGAACAAGGTCTAAATATGTAGCCATTTTAGAATCATTTTATTTAATCTCATTGAGATACTATGCATGCACACACAACTAACCACATCTAAGGTCGGCAATGAAACCAAAAAAGAAAGTTCCTCTCATGACCTGAAAATGTTTTGGTGGATGGAGGAATTGAGCAGAGCGTCCTGAGGTGCAGACAGGGGATGCTCAGCAAAAAACACTGTTCAGTAAGCTTTACAAACTTGACAACAAATTAGAAATAAAAAATTGTGTGGATTGTGAGGAATGAGGATTGTGTAACACCAGAAATAAAGTTACATAGTGAGGAGTATACATTCAGTCCTTTACTTGCTGAATATCCAAAGCTATCTACTGTTTTCAATTTTTTTCCAGATCTTGCTCCTTGTTCATTAAAGCCAATCTCTTTATGGCTCTTATTCACAACATGGGTGTGTGCAAAGTTTTCCGCTTTTCTAGGAGCTTCTTAATGAACCTGAGTCTTGAAACCAGGTAGAAGTGGGTTGTTCTTGATACCTATCTGGACCTGCAGTGGTGAAGGCTTATAGTTCATGGCCACAGTCTCTCCCTTACTGTCGGGCTGTGCCTCTGAAGGGGACGACGCCTCTGGGTCCTAGACGAAGACACACACAAATGCAGAGGATTTAAAAACCACAACTTTGAGTTATATAGAATCTGAAAGACACCGTTTTCCAACAGAGGGAACAAAGAAAGACCATATATGTAAAGAAAAGCAGGATTAAGAACTAAATTTTCTTTTAAATCGGTACCGGGAATATGCCTGAAACTGAACAAGAGGTACCAAAATGTTGTACAAAATATTGATTTTTCATGAGAGACAAGAGTCCTTTCTTGAGGGGGCATGGGATAGGTTTATTCAAAGAGAACTTTGCAAAGCGAGAAGATGTCAGCATGTCACAAAGTGGCCGTTTAGCCGGATCAACATGCTCTGTTTATACAGAAACTTGCTTTACAATCTATAACCTTTCCTGTGTTAAGATAAAAAAGGAGTGAAACTTCTGACCCAGTTACCTACAGGATTGGGGGGGACCTCATAGCTGAATCTCCTGGCTTTCTGTCGCCACCAGGATAAGATGTCCCTACAGCCACAGTTAAGATATCACAAGATTCAATGACCTGCGAGTTTGACCTAACAGTCTCAGTTAAAACTAGGCCACTCGCTTCTCTAACCTAGCAAAACAAAGAGAAACACGGGTGTGACGTGAATCTTATTTGACCAACGGCAGATGTAACAACTGTAAAATATTACATTTACAATAATCTTCTGCAGGTACGCAAATCACAGCGCTGCATAACACATAACTGCCTCCTGTTTTACATCCTCAGAGCCAATATGAGTGTACTAAATATGTCCAGTGAGTGACAAGCTCAGACACGGAGGAGGCTACTTCAGCATCCAGACAGTTTTACCCCAGAGCCATGCAGGATGTCTCACTGAGTCATACCAAGTACCTGGACACAGGCTGTCTCTGCCATGTACACCACTGGAACCCCATTTCCTCAAAAAGTATGTGTCTCGAGGACACAACACATGATCCTGATTCATTACCAGCCAACACGGTAAGGAAAAAACATCTTACTATAGAAACTGTTTGTCTGGAACACCCTGGTAAGACCACACTGACCTACTAGAGTTGCTTAGGTTGCTGCATCAATGGGCTTGAGTGTCGGTGGCTCAATCTCTCTCATGTGTGAGCGAGTGGTGATGGCATGGAGAGGCCAGCGTGTGACAACAGAGGGGGTTGCTGTTGCTGCGTTTGGCCTGCTACACCGACAGAGCCGCACATTATGTTGCTCCTACAGGCCGCCCCTTGTTGCACTTTGAGCAAACTTCACATCACATGGACGAGGCCTGCTAGGCATTTGGTTTTTAATATCTCTCGCAGAACTGCTTCTATGTGTAAGGTATTCTCAAAGCAGACAAATAAATAAGATGAGGCACTTCAAACAGACTCAGACCTGCCCTCCATATGATGTTAAATCAAATCTGACCACATAACAGACCCAGGCGTGTCTGTGGAAAAATGTACTCATCAGTACTTTTAGGACATAAATTGCTAATATTGCATCAATTTAGGCCAATACAACAATATCAGATAAGCCTTTGTCATCTAAAAAGAGCCACAAAAAAAGGTGTAGTAGTAGAGCATTTATTTAAGATAACTTGGTTTAAGCTGTCAAAAACAAAGATAAAAATGAATTAAAAACTGTGTTTGTGTTAGAGGGAAAAATCTTACAGATTTTCTCTTCATTTTTAGCAGCCAACCAATAAAATGAAACTTATACTATAATAGAAAAATAATCTTATTTCATCTTCCTACTTCTTACTTACAAAATGGGCTAAAATTACAAACACCCCCCCACCCCCCCCATCAATGGTATCATCTGCATTTGAGAACAATTAACTGTTCATTTAGCTGGAATAATTTATGAGGGATGCAACAGGGATCCAATAAACTCACTGGCACTGTAGATGTTGTGAAATCCCAGCTCAAAGATGATGTATTCTCACTGTAATAAGCACAAGTATTTTCTTTGTGCTCCGTGACGGGCCGTTCTCTTAGATCACCAGGCTTACCCACAGCTTTTTTTCCCCCCTCCTTCTATACTGCGATGTTGTAGAATCAGACAGCCTGTCAAATTAATCCTTTTCAATTTTCCTTATACTGGAGGGCTCCCGAGTGATCAAGAGAGGAATTCCATATCAGGCAGAAAAACAAGAAATTGACTTTGAATAAATTGGGCGCCTTTTTGAGCAGGGTAAGTTGCCTTTAGAACATGTCTTAAACAATATTTACAGGACAAATTTGAAATAAAAGTGGGAGTTAATAGTTTCCTATGAGACCATGACCTGCACACTGACAGCCTTAACAAATGATGAGGGACAGACCTATGACCATGATGCTTGGGGACACATTTTATGTACTTCAGTAAAACATGGCCCATTGCCCTGACCTTCAGCAATGCATTTACATACCTACCCACTCCCTCATGATCACATAGGCTTACACAGGTTACTGAAATGACCACTCGGTGTATTTGCCTCATCAGTGTGTCCTCCTGTTAGCGGCCTCTTCCCTGCCTCTGATGATGAGGAGCTACGAGGTTGCTGAGACAGCACAAACATTAAGCGATTGCTAGGATTATACATCGCAGCCGCCCAGTGGCCAATAGCAAAGAAGGATGACGTATCAGGTGACTATAAAAATAGTTGGAAGCCATCCTTGTATATGACAACGACTACGAGGCTACTCGTAGCGCCACCTTGTCGTTAAGAGTGTGTCGTCTCATAAATAAATGAATCCTTTACTAGCCACTCACAGCCGAACCCATGCAGAATGTTCTTTGCAAAAAGAGAGTTTTTGTGATTTCATCCCACAATAGCAATAATTCAAATGCATCACACAATGTTCCACACAAAGCTCTTTTATTTGTGTGAATTTGGCAGGTGCCAAGTGTTTTCATTTGGTTTGGAAATCACAATGAAACTATTAGCATCAAAATGAACAGCCATGTGTGCCACATCCCCTGGGATACTGATGGGATGAGATTATGTGCAAATGTATCAGGCGGAACAGTTCAAGAGGTTTGAATCATAAAATCTAACCCCACAATGACCTATGCAGTTATTGGACAGACACAGATAATAACAGTTTGAAATGAAAATGAGTCATTGCTGTGGTTTTGGGGGTGTGGGGTATTATAGGAACCGGGTGACCACTGATACAATATAGCCACGACCCAAGTGGTAAACTGGACCGTATTTAATCGGGCTTCAAAAGAAATCTTAGTGGAAGAAACAGTCTAAACGTTTGTGGATATCTATAGCAAAAAGTCCTGCTGTTACCTCTGCAAGAATATAGCTGCAAGGGAAGCAGGACAGGGTATGCATGAATACTATGAACAGGGCAATTTGGAAGCCTGCTTTTGCCAAAAACCGCAAGGCAAACATTGGGGGTTTTGGCAGCAGTTGTATACGGATTTGTTCAGGGGGTGAAGAATGTCTATTTATCCATGCTCTAAAGTAAGTGCAACTCAAAAGGAAATGAGTGAGTTAAGAACAGCTTTTCAGTTCAAATACATTTAAGAATGATGTAAAGAAGGGTTTTGAATCCTGTTTAATCATGTTCAAATTTCACTAACTGATTTTGAACTTTACAATAAATTAAAGGGAAAGGGGCCTCACTATGCGTCTGGCAACAGTCCGCGGTAAGAATTTAGACCACCTCACGCGATCTTTTGGTTTCACACCCATTTCCAACCAAATAACACGTCATCAAATGACGAAATGTAGAACGGTGAGCTTTGACAGCAAATGATGTAAACATGCGCAAACTGTGGGTTTAAAAGACTCGCCAAAGTGCGCAGCTAAATTACACCGCTACAACTAAGTAAACGATTTTTTATTTATAGAATACTGAATGCGTATCTCTTTCATAACTCCATGGGGAAATCGGTAGTCATCATCCTTTCATTCTTATTCTGTCGTTATACACCCATTCCTAAGATCCAGTTTGTCCCGGGGATGCAAATGGAAATCCGTTAGCTCACGCACAGATTATGTGACACAGCTATCACGATTAACCACAGGCGAGACAAGAATGTTACCACTTGCATTAAACTGAGACTGATTTGAATAACAATATGTGTTTTGTATATTCTCTCACCAAAGGCTGTGTCTCTCCGTTGACAGGAGGCACTTGGAACCTGTCGATTTCTTCCATCATTTTGGCAAAGCGTAGCAAAACACGACGCGGTGCTTTTGAGATAAACGTTTACTTTACTCTAACAAATCCTGTAAATGATGCTCGGCCGTCGGGATCTTCCGTTAATCAGCATGATAACAGCTCGTTTTCCTCCATCCTGCGTGACAGAGGTGACTCGACAGCAAAACAGCAGTACCGCCCTACTTCCGGGTCTGTAGAATATTCATGAAAATCTATCCAATCACACAGGACCTTATGCGGAAATGCGTTGTGAACCAATTTAATTCATTTTCGGTTAAATAGAAAATATTTCATCTCTAAAAGTTGTAATTTTTCTTTTGAATATTGCAATAACACCAAATATATTTTGTATATAATACTGGCTTCGTACCACATGAAAGAAAAACAACAATACCGATAATATATATTTTTCCGTGGCTTTAATATACTTACTTATAATTATCAAGCTTAAAGAATTGTAATTTAAAATAAAAATAGAAGTGGAACTACATTGACTGTGTAGTGTTTGGAGTTCCTGAATGAGGTGGGACAGGCGGTTGCTTAGCAACCCACACACAGCAGCAGACGGATCCAGAAGTGGGAATACTTGTTTTTTAATTTTTACCACTTAAGAAGTTAATTTCAATATCGTTAGAACGTACTGGGGAACAATAAGATTTCCAAAAATCTTGTGATAATGCCTGTCGCTAACAATAGCGTTGCAGCAATTGCTAGAAAGGTAATGGATATCTAATTTTAGCTCGCATTAATTAGCTAGCTAGCAAAGTTGGAAAGCGACTATAGAGCTAACTATTTATGCCAATATACTTTATTTTCGTACAGGGCCCAAATATTCAAAGGGCACCAGGTGCTAAGTCAGTCAAAGCTCCAAGTAAGAAAAAGGTAAGATTACTTACATGCTCAGATACATAATTTTAGGAGAACTACAATGATGTATGCAAATATAAATTTACAGGATGAGGACGAGGCCGTGGACCCTGGCGATGGGTTGGAGGAGTGGGCTCCTGGGAAAGTTCTCAAGCCTCCAGATCAACTGGAACTCACTGAGACTGTAAGTGGATGTGTATATATACAAATAAATATATATGTGTCTCAGTATGTTGGTATATATGTGTGTGTGTGTTGGGGGGGTGGGGGGCGTGTAAAGGAAAGATTGATACTGCATTTGTGGTGTTTTCAATTGTTATTGACCTATATTTTTTTCATGCTTTTGATTTTTTGAGATCTCTGCCTATTTTCAACTTCTTATTCCTCACAGTGATTTTGATCTTAGTTATTTGTTTTATTTTGTTTCTCTATGGTAATTTTAGATTGTACTAGGACCATTTTATAGGTAGCTGTGTGTGGTTGTTTTGCATATCTTTTTGTGTCTGATTTGTGTTAGTTTCATATTTTATTGTGTGTCTTATCTTGGATGACACAGCCCCACACCAAATCATCCAGCATCTCTTTGTTAATATGACTAGGAACTGAAAGAGGAAATCACTAGGATCCTGACAGCAAACAACCCACATGCTCCACAAAATATTGTCCGCTACAACTTCAAGGTGAGGAAGTTACTGTTTGCCTAAATTAACACTATTAAATGTGCAAGAGCCAGTACATTTAATTTTTTGTTCAAAAACAAAAAATCTCAACTATGTTGATTAGTCTGAACAATTTGTAACAGACTCGAGTACAAAGGAAATGTACTTTTGGTTTCTTAGCAACCAACTTCATTGTACTTTAAAAATCTGAACAAATCTTGAAATTGATGTCATCAACAATCTAAAATAAAATGGCCGTAGGGCACGATTACCATCAAATTACATCACCATCCCTTTTAATTAAACTTTTGGGAACAGGGCATGTCACTCGTTGGAGTTTTATAAGATGGTTATCAGTCCATTTGTATGTAATGCATGATTTCATCATGCATTTTCAAACGGAGACAGCTCTTGATAGGCCAGTCAAGTCTACACACAATTTTGTCTGCATAAACACTGTTGTAAGTGGTGCAAAATGTGCTCTGGCTTAATCCTTCTAAACTAACCATGGACCTTCCAAGAAATGTCATGTCCTTGATAGTAGCCTTGTTTCTTCAATATTTCAATAAAACCCTATTTATCAACAATATCTTATAAGGTTGAGAGGGCATCTGAAGTAATCACATAATCATAGCCATATTAAACAATCTTTTTCCTTTTTTTTTACCCTTCTTCCACCTTTTTGTTTCGTATTTGTCTCAGGAACGAGCCTACAAGGCAACCAGTGTCGTGGATCAGATGGCTGTTCATTTTGTGTGGGAGGGTAGCCTTCTGCATGAAGATTCCGATGAAGCACGAAGACTGAGGGTCAGGGAGGGTCTTCCTGAAGGTAGTGATTGTGGAATTACACAATTTAGATCAGAGCAAAGTTATTTTGATAGATGTTCAAGACCAATATTTACTCTTTAATGCTAAATCCGGACAAAGCTGTTTCATATTTCCCTTTCTGTTGTGATGCAAACTTGGAACCACAAGATGTCACTTCCAAGCCAAGCAAGTTAAAAACTTTTAGTCTTTTCTAAATTATTAAGTTATGATAAATGACTCCCAATGTGCACAGTGAAAGCAACAACTGAAGCAGGAGCAGAATCTGTCGGGGGGCACACAGAAAACAGGGTAAATATTTTTATTTCACTTAAATGAGCAATAAATTGTCCTCTATTTAAAACTCTATTTAAACATTGTGTGAAGTAGGTCAAGCTTTTTTTTTTCACCAAAAGGATTACTTTTCCAACTCTCCTCAGGCTACATCTGTAGAGGATGGGGGTGATGTGGACGAAGCAGGGGGAGAAGAAAGACCCGACAGTGTTGCCTCCAAAACTACCAAGAAGGTCACAAATCAGTTCAACTTCAGTGAGAGGGCATCCCAGACTCTTAACAATCCATCAAGGGTAGGAAGGAGCAGTTTGCTCCATGTCTTACATAATAGTTTAGATATCAAATATCAATGTTTAGTATTATGTGCATGAAAACCCTCTCAAGATGAGTATACATAAAAATATTTGTAGTCTGACATTCCTTGGAATTGAAGTTATTTTCCTTTTCCTCCAGGAAAGAAACAGCCAGACTGAACCTCCACCGCGCAGCCGCTTTTCTGCCACTGCTAATCAGGTAGTTTGGCAGATATGATCTGCCCTTGCTTGTTTTCTCATTACTGCGCATCAGTGAACGTTTGTTTTTGTGTGAGATGACTTCAATAACTTTGTTCTTTGCACAGTGGGATATCTATGATGCTTACCTGGAAGAGCTGCAGAAGCAAGAAAAAAACAAAGAGAAGCAAAAAGCCACACAAGTGAAGAAAGATAATAGCAAGTGCAAGACAAAGACGATGCTGTTGGAAACACCGGTGCATTGTTGTTTACTGTTTATCAACTTTTCTTGCATAAATGCATGCATATTAAAATTGAATATGATCAGATTTGCATTCTAATATTTAGCAGGAAAAAATACCATCTCAACAACTGCCATATCTAACTAAATGATTTCACTGCAGCACTGGTAACAGTGTTGTACCATTTCAAAGTTGTTCTGCAAATTATACATGTGATTATAATAGCTGTAAACATCTAATTTTACCAAAGGACGCTGTTATGTGTTCTCATTTAGTTTTTCTCTTTGACTTCTGTTGTAGAGTGATGACATCACTAAAGTTAGCAAGACATCCAAGGTCTTTGAAAGAATGGTGAATCAAAACACATTTGACGACATAGCTCAAGGTATATTCTTCTAAATGTAAAATACAAATATTGCCCCCTTTTTTCTCTCCTTGAAATGTCTTCCTCTTGCACCTTCAGATTTTAAGTACTTTGAGGATGCCTCTGATGAGTTCAGGGACCAAGAGGGGACCCTTCTGCTGCTGTGGAAGTTTCAGTTTGACAAAGCCAAAAGACTGGCAGTCACTGCCCTCTGCTGGTAGGTTGATTTACCAACTCTGAATAAAAAATCATTGGTAGGGTTTTGTAGTTCTTTATCATCTTTGCTGTCACAAAAAGGGGGGAATGACTCAATTAGTTTTCTGTCCTTAACAGGAATAACAAATATCAAGATATGTTTGCTGTGGGCATGGGCTCATGTAAGTGCTATGAATATTTAGTATGGACAGTTTTATTGAGTTTTTCTTGAAATAAAGTCATTAGCTTATCTTTGCGTCCACTAATCCCCTCCTTTGTTTCCTTCCGTGAATAGATGACTTCAGCAAACAGGGAAGGGGCATGCTTGTCTTCTATTCACTAAAGAACTCTACTTTCCCAGAGTACATTTACCCCACAACTTCTGGTGTCCTTTGCCTCGACATTCATGAGCAGCACTCCTTCCTGGTGGCAGTGGGGTTCTATGATGGCTGTGTGGCTGTCTACAACCTGAAGGAAGAGGGAGAAGAACCTGTTTACAAGAGTACAGCAAAGACTGGCAAGCACACAGATCCTGTCTGGCAGGTGGGAGAAGGAGCGTGTCAGAGGTAGACAGAAGGCTGGGAGTTGTATGTGGTTGTAGGCTATTCTGTCGAGGGACAGCCGCTTCAACTTCGATTACTTTGGGTTCCTTTAAGCATTGGCAGTAAGTTTGTCCCTTTAAAACAGTGTACCAAACAACCTAGTCTGAGGCGAGAAAACAGAAGATTCTTTAATAGTTTGATGCTGGATCATTAAATATTCTTTCCTCATACAAAATTTTAGATAGAAATTGAATGGAATTTTACCATGTATTTTGAAAAAACATTATTCAAATAGCTATATAACTAAAAGCAATGTTCATTACCAGTTATATATATATTATTTTCAGGTTCGATGGCAGACTGATGACATGGATAACAATCACAATTTTTATTCTGTGTCATCTGATGGCCGGGTTGTGTCCTGGACACTTGTCAAGGTAAACAAATGTCATTTTTAGAAAATGACATTTACTAATTCTGGGTGTCTTATTATATCTGCTTATTTATTATATTTATATGTAAACTGCAGAAAAGGATTCTGTGTGTTTGGTCACGATTGCAGACTTTTTGTTGTTCTTATACCTGTTGCCGTATCGTGTGTTTGCATTGCTGCAGAATGAGCTGATCTTTACAGACATTATCAGACTGTCTATGAACAGTGCTGCCTCTGAGGGACCAGGGGCTGCACAGCTGCCAAGCATCGGTAAGGCTCACTAACTAATTGTATACAAATGCTGCACTATTTGACAGTAATCTGAGAATGATGCGGATTATGGAATGGATTATGTCATGTTGGAATTGATGCCTCTAACAGTGTGTCCTGACTTGTGTGCAGCTTGTGGTACATCGTTTGACTTCCATAAACAGATTGACTATCTGTTCTTGGTTGGCACTGAGGAGGGGAAAATACACAAGGTATGTGTCAATTATTTCACTGTGGAGTTCTTGCCTGGAAAACAAAAAAACTGCATCAAGCATGTTGTTGGCTGTCTTGAGCAGTCAGAGTAACACAGTAACAAGACTCTCAGTCTCAGACTCTCAGTAGGCTGCCTTTTTCACGTTTCGGAGATTTTATTTTATTCTAATGACTGCTGGCGTTTAACAACTGGCCTGTGTGTCTTTCACAGACTTCTTCAATTTCACTTTCTGTATGTTACATAAGGAATGACACAGTGTAATACATCATGGATTATTTTTCATATTGGGTTATATTGACCTTTTTGCTAGGCATGTTCATTGTTATATTGTGGCATGATATCTATGACTCAGGGATTCAAATGGAAATGAATGGATGCTATTTTGCTCTAACTGTGAAGAACTGACCCACACATAGTGTTGTACTTATATATATTGTCCCTGCCAACTTGCTTCCATCTGTCACCTTAAGGTTCAGTGTAAAGCACACCTCAAGATAGAGCAGATTAACAATATATCACCTCACTGCAGGTGAACAATTAAACTGTCAAGTTTTTTTTCTATACAACAGCTGTCCCCTCAATCCACGAAGTTCATTTCACCAGAAATTGTCTTGTTGATTTATCCCTGCAATTCCCAACCCCTTTCTGTCAATGGTAAACAAACTAAATTAAAACTAGCAGAGACTTTGCCATTCTAGCTTCTTTAAAATAAGAAATTTAACTACAAGGATATTTATTTAGCTATCAGCACAAAATTGTTTCCAGATAATTTCCAATAATCGTATGAATTTATAAAGCACCTTTCATACATTAAGTAACACAAAGTGCTTTACATAAAAGCGCATTAAAGTATTCAAAATAGAGTTGCCCCAAGCGCATAACTTCTGTCCTGTTTTTTATACACATTCACTTGACACAGTCTAATCTTTTTCTGTAGGACTAAGGACAGCTTTGTCAGGTTATTGTTAAATGCCATGCTTATCTCAATATTGACTTACAGGTCGTATATTTTGGTATGTAACACCTTGGTCTTGGCAGTATCATATGATTATTGAATTTTTATTTTTCCAGCTTTATAGTTAAAATGTGGATTGTGGTATTTGTGTGTTAGTGTTCCAAGACCTATTCAAGCCAGTTCCTGGAGACGTATGATGCCCACAGCATGGCAGTGGATGCAGTGAAGTGGAACCCCTTCCATCCAAAGGTTTTCATCTCTTGCAGCTCAGACTGGACTGTCAAGATCTGGGACCATACCATAAAGTAGGAGTCCAGAAAAATAGTTTCTCGAAAAATCAATTCAATTGCATCTGCTAAATATGATATCTTTGTGGCATAATTTTCGTTTAGTTTTGCTACCATATTTTGCCTGACAATATGTTACAATAATCGTTCAGTCAGATGCAATTTCGGTCATTTGACTTATTTTAATCCTGTGTAATTTCAGCGTCAAGTATCTAATGGTGAAAATGCATGTACGGCAAACATTTAGAATTATGCTGAGCTGTGACACATGCTCACGTGAATTAACTTTCCACTGACAAATCCTAGCAGGGATCCTGTAGATAATAAGGGACTCTGTCTTTGTACTGTGTTAGTTAGGGAGAAATCTCCATAATAACAGCAGCTAATAACAAAAATAACTCACTGCTATAGTTTTACTTTGTTCCACGCTCAACTTTTCAAAAACAGGAACATTTTATGTCAGTCCTACTTTCTTTAATTAGAATGTCAGATGGTTTAGTCATGAAAGAAATGCTGGTAGATTCATGTTAAGTACTGGATCTAGTTTTGGTTTTATAATTTGGGTTGTAATTTGTATTTGAGTGTTTCTTAACTTTAATTTTTTTCAATGTTTGACTCCAGTGTTGTTAAAGTTGCTGTGCCGTTTTTGTAGCTGGAAGAAGCTTTAAGAAGCATTTACAAGTCACTTATCTGTCTGGAGAACAGCATTTGCTTCCTAATGCAGTGTCATTATGCTGAGCAGCACTGCTCATGCTTTGTTTGCAAATATTTATGTACTCTCAGAGAATTAGGTACACAGTAATCAGTATTCCAGTAATTTCTCCCTGATACTTCTGTGCATTAGTCTTTATTACTTTATATTTGTCATGGGTCCAGCATAATTTTCCTGGCTCATTTGACTAACCAGGAGTGCCTCCCACATCTTGTCAGCATGGGCAGCTTGACTGAATAATGATAGTAATCATTTGCCCATTATGAGAGACACTGTTTTCAAGTGTGCTCTGTAACATCGCTAAGATAAAAAAAGACTATATTTCACACTTATGCGCAGGTGTCCAAAACCCTAATTTATGGCTACGTACTGATTATTAAAGTGAGTATTGTGTCACCTGTAAGGTGTTAATATTTAAAAAAGGGATGAGTCCAGACACTGCCTAAAAAACATTCAAATGAAAGTTGTGTTAAAAGAAATATTTATATCATTGATAGTGTTATTAAGACATTTATGCTGTATGTGCTGTTTAACAGTTCGAAAAATCTATATCAGACAGTTCAATTTCATCATTGATGAATCACAGTGTCATGCCATTCTCTTTTTCTTTTTCCTTTTCCTTTTTATTATCTCATACCATTCTCTTTAAACATTGAGTCATTTTTATTGACCTTTCATTAATAATTTAAACAAGTTTAGCCTGAGTACAAGTTATTTATGGAAGGAAACATCAACTTTGAATAGTAAGAGTTTTTTTAATGGCATAGAGAGCAAATTCTGGTCTGTTCAATAAGTTTGATTATATTCCTGATTATATTTCTGATGCGGTTGATAAAGAGAGAGAGAGACAGAGAGAGAGACAGAGACAGACAGAGAGAGAGAGAGAGGATCCAAAAACCAAGCAAAAGTATATAGGCAAGTAGATAAAGCAATGACAAATCTCAATTTAAAGAAAAAGCAGGTGGTTATGTTATGATCAATTCAAAGATAACAGCAGCTCAGGACAATTACAGGAAAAAGCAGGGGAAACCTGAGAAACTGTTAAAAAACAGAATAAATAAACTAGAGCAGCACACAGGAAGCAAAACCTAAATACACAAGAAAGACCTTAAACTAAAACTAAAATAGACTAAAACCCCCAGAACATTGACTTCAAACACCAAAGGAAGTCCAAACAGCCCAAAAGCTACAGGTCACGACATTCACCTCTTGCCCTTGTTCTAAGTGTTTAGTATTGTAGTCTCTTCAGGACAGGAATAGAAGTCTGGGTGCTTTATAGAGCCACAAAATTTACTAAATGCATCAGCATCAGTTCCCAGTGATCACTATCCAATTTCAACTCCAGACATAGTGCTGTGTTACACACAGCCAGCTAAATCATTAGAAATACCAGTTTTCATTCTGTAATCTATACGAAAACTTTATACCCATCATAGTCATTAGCAAGCTTCATATCTGCTTCAATGACTTTAATAGTGAATTATTTACAAACATATTAGCAAACTAATAGAACATTAGCGTTAGGTTTACTGAACCCACAGCCATTGTGTTTAATGTCCCCAGAGAAATTAGCACAGCATACAGTTATTTCTGCAAGTGACACATTAAGTATGTTTATACAACTGTTACACAAGAGAAAAATAAGGTTAATAAAAACAATTAAATCAGTCTAAAAAATCTAATAAATTACAACATATCTGCTATTTATATAACTTTATTTCAGTATGTTTTCACAGTGAAACACAGAAAGGGAAAATAGCCTCTCCTCACAGGATGTGATGGTTTCTCTCTGCACATTGTCTGATTGGTCATTCATCAACAACTAATTTTAATTTGCAAATGTGTTGCAGTCAGGCGATCAGGGCAAACATCAGCATTTCATACCCTGTATCCTCTGTCGCCTGACATGTTTGTGTCTTTTTGCAGTACTCCAATGTTCACTTTCGATCTTAATGGAGCCGTTGGAGATGTGGCCTGGTCTCCGTACTCCTCCACTGTGTTTGCTGCCGTGACAACAGTTGGATCGGTAAGAGTCTTTCTTGGTTCTTTGTTACTGAAGCAAATCATAGCATGACTTAGCAGTTTTGCATTTCACAACTGTTTTGCATTGTTTGGGCCGTGTAAACAATGGCAAAACATGAGCAGTAGTGACTATTCACATTACTGCTAGTGCATTGAAGTGTTTTCATAGATTTGACACATTCATCACATCCTGTTGATCTGTTGTCCTGCATATACATGTAATAGTATACTATCCTAAAAAATATATAATTTATATTTTTCTTACAGTGTGCATTTTTATAAATATTGTCCATAGAAATATGGTGGACAAAACAGCCATACTCTTTTCATAATATTTCATATCAGTCACCCAGCCCAACATAAAATAAAAGTGATGTTAGCACAGGGATGTCCAGACAAACAGATATGGATATTTGGTGGTTTAAAGCTGTATGAATAACTAAAAGCACGGGTTTATTAGTCAGTCCAGTCAAAACATTTAAACCAAACAGACATTTTGAAATATTTTCTGTTTTTTTAATGAAAAAATTTGTCTCAAGAAGAATTTCTTGCTTGACTTGTTAAAAGGATGCATTGTTTTTTGTTTGATTAATGTGAAATTGACATAATTGTTTATTTACATTTGAGTTGGAACTATAAAAGATGACACATCACTGATTATCTCTATCAAAATGTGGAAACATAGCTTATAGCTTGTGAATATTTTCATTGTTCAAGTGTTGAGCCAACACTTACAGCCTATAGTGTGCTCAGCAGCTGGGCTGTGATCACACCACCACACATATGTTGCGTCCCTATTATAACACAAGCTTGAAACTTATTTACCTGAACATGTGAAATAACAAGCAACTGCACCATTGGCCACCTTTGCCCCTTATTGTTACAGTCCTAATTTAGATATAGGATCAGCTGGCTGAGTCCTGCATAAGGCTAAGCTTAATGCTTGTTATCCTCAGGCAACCAGGTTTGTTCAAATTCTCTTTCATGTGAGAGAGGAGGCTTCCTCCTCAGGTAGTCGTTGTTGATTTCAGCCAAAAGTAATTTCAGTGGAAGCTGCTTTGCATATCTCCACATATTTTCTTAGTATGCCTCTCCCCATCTGTTTGTTTTCACAGCCTGCGCAACCCTATAAAAGTTGATAGTGTTGCGTCTGGCACGTCCCCTGTGCAGTGTGCCAAGTGAGGATGAATGAGAGTGACAGAGAGGAAATGAGAGCTGAGCAATTTGAGGGACAACTGATCTGATAGTGTGTATGGGTGTTTGACATCTTCCCCAGTGCTATTGTTTTGTCGGCACAGGCACAAATGATGTGTTATACCCATACCGTATTAATTTTCACAACTAACTGTCAACCTTTTTTATAGTCCAATATACAAATTGCAACCACCATATATTGAACCAGATCTTTGACCTGAAATCAATCACATAAAAAATATGAGGTATCATAAGTGTTTTCATTTATTTCCCTAAGCTAGATCTGTAGCTATTAAAAGACTTTTAATAGATTTTCTTTTCAAAGAAATATACAAGATTATCAAATTGAACTAACTATTCTAAAAAAAATTATGTAAAGCCTGAACTCACCTTGACATTTGATCTTAGTTGTATTTTAAACAACAACACAGTCCAAACAGCATTCTCACCTTCATCGAATGATGTTAACTGACATAATTTCCCCCAGGGTTGCAGTTTTGTTCCAGTACATGTGTCAATTTCTGTGACAAGTGTCTGACAGAGCTCAAGTGAGTCATAATGAGTTGTGTCCTCCTTGACGTGTACTGCTGATGACAGCCTGGCTCTTTGCTACTTGTGCCACACAGCAAAATGTCAAAGGCACAATGGTGTTCCTGTTTGTGTGAGAGTGTGGGTTACCGCGTACTCGTGTACTTGTGTTCATAAGGATAATGAACTGCCTGGCAGGCTGAGGTGTGAGAATGACCCTCAGTTGTGTGGTGCAAACAAATTCTCTCTGTCCCCACCTCCCCATCTGAGCTGACTGCTAAGAAATTAAAGTGTCTGGATGAAATAAAGAGAAGTCTGGAACTATCCGCATGCAAAATATAGGTCTTCAAATCTATGTTTACCCTGTCTTGTACATTGCCTTTTAACATTTTGTATGGGGCCATCTACATATTCAATTAAATTTTTCCCTATGTTTAGATCTCATACTTAACGTTGAGCCCAAAGAAATAAAAGCTTTATCTTCCTCTGTCATTTTGGAGTCATGAAAATAAATTATCTTGTAATTGTACATCTACCTCAAAGGAAAAAGAAATTAAATCCCTGACCAGTTTTCCAATCTGCTGGAGTCTAAATGATTTATACAGATCACAGTAGCTACACTTTAATTTGCCATGACCATGAATTGGTTTAAGCGAAGTTAGGAAATGGATGGGTGGACTTTAATCTGTGGAAGGCCACGGGTGTAATTTTTTGGAAGCCCTGAACTACTTCGAAAGGGCTGAAAATTCAAATAAATTGAATGTTTAAAGTGTACACAGTATATAGGATATTTCACTGCTTTATTGAACGGTTTAAACTGAAACCTGTAGATCCATCTGTGCTGTCCTTAAAGCTACCAAATTCCTTTGAACATGGAGCTGCCAGTCATCTTCTTCTAGTCATCCTCATCTGTTTTCGGTGTGTCAAAGGATGTGTTCAGATCAAAGAATATAACATGATAGAATCCCAGAGTTACCAAGTGACATGAATCAACCAATCAACTTCAGAGGAACCAAACTATACTGCTGGCGTTGTGATGTGCAGGTTGAAAGTAGGGCCTTGTACTAAGCAAACTGTTTTATCCTGGGGCTATGTGTAATTATAGGGGTTATTCTGTAGGACACATTTTCCCAAAAGTCTGTCAAAGTTTTACAAACTTTTAGGAAGCATTTTGGAAGCTGTACTAACTGATGTAAAAAAGAAAACGTAGTCAAATACAGCCATGATGTTTGACAAATTGACTGAAAATATTGTTTATAGTGAGAATGAACATTGAAATTTTATATAACATGGAATTTTCTGTCTCTCAGAAAAAAAAAGAAAAAAATGGATCAGAGGAGAAATAAATTACTAGAGATAACAGATCTTCATAGTTTAAAGACATTGTCAGTACTGCCCATATGACTATTACAATTAATTTAAAGCAGCCAGATTCTTAGTTGAATAAATACACAGATAATCAGGAGCCGTTGAGTCTGTAATGCTTTCAGGTGGTCTTCTACAAACTGGTGATTTTGGATTCACTGTCAGTCACCATTGCGCTCTTATTATAACCCCATCCATCTTCATCCTCCCTGCAACACAAGACAGCGATGATCATGTTAGTTTTTATATTGTTTAGGGGCCCTTCTCTGAAGGCAGCTGTCATTAAGGTAAAGTAGGTTAGAGCAAAATGACAACGTGTTCTGATAAAAGGAAAATTAAATAAATACAAAGCAAATAAAAACTTGCAAACCAATTCAATTAAACAAATGTACATCCTACTGAATTTTCCAATTGTGTTTATGCAGTCTGCAAAGGTTCATTTTTCGTTATTTGTATACACATCTGTTGCTTGTCAGACTAGTGTCATGTCTGAAAATGGGTGTGATCTTTATTGATCTAACCTTTGACCGGATAATCACCCAAGTTGGACTAAAAGATTATAAATCAATAGATGATCTTTGCGGCTTGTAGTATGAATTGCTGGCATAGTTTAATTTTGCAATTATCGCATTGTTTTATTATGCATTTATCTTTAACTTGATCAAAGTCAGGACAGTTACTGGAAGGCCGTGTGTAACAGACCCCACAGAAACCCCACTGCTTCAAACACTGTAAAGAAAGATATATTCACTCCAGTTCACAGCTAAAGCGGGTAGACAGGTAGAACACAGGCTAGCAAAGATCTCATGATATTTCAATCATTTGAAATCACTCTTACTCCCTAAGTAACATTGATGTTGGCAAAGAATGCACTCTGATTCAATAATAACATATTTAGAGTATAACTGAGGCAAATCTAGATAAATGTCTTTCTTAGCAGGACTTCAGGATTGTCTGTCGCCCACAAGCAAAAGCTCTTTTCCATACAGAATAAGCAGTCACCTCGAAACACTATGTAACAAGTTGATGTGGGGACTGTGGAAATAGACAGCAGTGGGTTGTCTCACAGTCCATATGTCGGGAGAAGCATGAACATGTGCATGTATGAGACAGCGGCAGATTTACCAACCTTTTTTTCTTAAGTAGCCTTTTGGCAATCATGATAATGAAGACAATCAGCAGGAAGCCAACAACAGCTGAGAGTCCAACCAACCAGGGCTGAAGAGTCACTGATCCTGCTCTTGCTGCTGCTGGCAATGATGGTGTAGGAGTTAGTTGGAAAACTTGAGATCCTAAACTTAAGATAAATTTTGTATATATATATTAAAAAATAAACATTTTACCTTTTCCTGCTGAGCAGCCGGTAGCAGACAGGAGCAAACACAAAACAAGTACACTTATCCCAGCCATAGCTGACCCAGGCGATCCAACCCAAAACAAAAAGAACTGAATGTTCAGCTCAGCTGGAGTAAACCACACACGTGCAGCATGGGGTGCGTCTGTAGCACATTTATTCGTCTTTAAGTTCATAGTCCACAGACATAGTGTCTCAGCAGTTTGGGTGTGTGAGGGTTTTATTAGCTTCTGCGAAAACTAAAAAGCTATGAACAACAAACAATACAGTTCACTAGTTTGACTGTTTCCACTCTTATAAGATCTGTGATGAACTTCCACAGAGAAAAATTTATTACTTTTATTCTATAGTGTTTCTAGTTAAAGCACTTATTTCCAAATTATTGGAATATGTGATGTGCAGTTTAGACATTTAGACTTGAGAGTCAAAAATGTAATATTTTAATATTTAAGAGCAGGGAACATTTAATGGAAGTCAATCAGGTAACTTTATTTCAATGTTATATGAAGCCAGGGATTCATGCATTGTTTATAAATCAGTTGCAGGCATGCCATCACAATGTGTCAGTAGCTCCAGGAGGGGGTCCTGCAGTTCGAGGGTTTGAGGAGCACGGATCTCTGGGAGAGAGGTCCAGGGGAAAGGAAAACAACTAAGGCTGCTCAATAGTTCAAAAATATCATCAGATCAGCAGGACAAGGCCATTTGACCCAATAGATGGGGAGGGCAGGTAGATGGGGTAGTTCTTGAGGATGGCTTGTGATCCAGAAAAATGCAATCAAATCATTCATAGAGAAACACAGCTGTAAGATTACCCTCTCTAATGAAAAAAGGTCCCTTGGATGAAAAGCTTTAGATCTGACTTAGTGAAGAATGACCCAAAGCTAAAAGGATGGATGAAGTTATAACTGCACAGAATCCCTATCCTGACAAGTAGACATCCAGTAGCTGTGCACAGACAGGCACAATTTTCTCAGAGGAGAGACAAATTTGGACGAGGAGTGCTTTCTTTTTTGAGACCATGTCGAGACTTGCTTATATTGGTGAACCAAAAAACAGCCTCCAGTCACCATCCACAGTTATTGCACAAGTAAATAGCGTACCTCAGGAAAGAAACATGGCAGATGGATGCTCCACAGTGTGAAAAAGCATGTGTTGTATGAATGTGTGTAATGGCCACAGCACCTTGTGTGACCAGATGGTTCACATCCATTATCTGCTTCCTGACTTCACATATTCCTAAAGTAGAAAATCTGAAAAAAAAAAAAAAAAAAATGATAATAATACAATTTAAAAAGGCCTGTCTTGTAAAATACCTAACTTAATCTGCCTTAAATGAAAGTCAGTAATAATCTTATTTTTTCAGTACCATTAAAAAAAGACCTTATCTTATCTTATATTACACATAAAAAGGCAACGATATTTCACAGCACAAGCATTTATGTGCTTGTGCCAAGAGTACAGTGAATAAGAAGCCGTGATTTTCTGCACCTATCCTGAGTGACGAAGGGAAAAAGCAGGATGTGTGGCTGTGTAGTCCATCACAGGGCCACACAGAGACAAATAACCACACAAACTCACAGTCATACATTTAGATTGTTCAATTTACCTAACTTGGATGTTTTGGACGGTGGGAGGAAGCTGGAGTACCTGGAGAAAACCATAAGTACTCTTGTATAAGGAAAAATGTAACAAAAAAAAATCCTGGACAGTAATTAAAAAAAAAATTCAACTTTATATGAAACGCCAGGAATGCCATTTTTCTGTATGTTCATACTAATATGAGAAAAAGCTATATGTAACAAAGTAAACCCTGTGCTTCAAGCATGTACAAGATTTACAGAGTGTTTATTGAAATTAGCCATGAATGAAGTTACAATTTATATCAAAAGGAAAAACACTCTTGCTAAAGGTTGTAGTGAAATGAGGTTACAGAAAGTCAGAACCAAATGGAAAAGTCATGATTTCTTCTAAATGATGACTGTAATGCTTTGTGAGCTGGTAATAGACTTGGACAGAGTGACCCTTAGCACTCTGGTCATTTTTCTGACAAAAGAAGTGGCTGTGCTTTGAAGTGAGCTCATTTGTTGTCAAGAGGCTGTCTAAATCTACTCAAGCTGTAAGGAGAAAATCTGTCATCTAGGCAAGATCAAAACATCCCCCGAAACACATCACAAACACCTTGGGTCTTCTAAACCTGTTTATATATGGATATCATTTCACCCCACAGGATTGCTGCAAATACCTGTCTATTCCCCAGATGGTCAGGGAATCACAAAACAAGGACTCTTGAGACATTTGGGGTAGTTTATGAAATTGAGGACAAAGTAATAGACTGTGTCCTTAGAGGTCTGATTTTATTTACTCCCAGACTTAGCAATGTTATAGTGTTTTTTTTTTATTATTAATCACTATAGTAACATCTCTCTTTGTCAGGTTCACGTCTTTGACCTCAACATCAACAAATATGAGGCTATCTGCCAGCAGCCAGTGGTGGCCAAGAAGAAGACTAAGCTGACTCACATCATGTTCAATCCCATCTACCCAATCATTATAGTCGGTGATGACCGAGGGTATGTCACCAGCCTCAAGCTCTCTCCTAACCTTCGCAAGAAGCCCAAGGTAAGTCTTTCTAAAACTAACAAAATTATTGTAGGAGTCTTAAACTCATCCATTAGAAGTGAAAAAAAATCTCACTTGCTCACACACGCTTTTTAGTTTGGATAATTAGCCACTCACAAATGTTCCTCTTTCTATCAGTTCTGCAAGTCTGGCCATTACACTTGGACAATTTGCCTTATATAATATTTTCCTTTTACGGTTAAAATAACTGCTTTTAATATTAGTCATGACTACCAATTGATCCACAATGGTGAATGCAGATGAGCTTATTTCAGTTATTGCAGAGTCCTGAATACATGGTCATTTCACCAAATAACAAGCCCCTGACCCCTAACTAAACCATTAGTAATATCACCTCATTTTTTTTCCTTTGAAAAACAAATCCAAAGAAGCAATTGGGGGGGAAATGTAGTGGGGAGAAAACTAATGGTGTATCCAAAAAAAAGAAAAAAAGATGTGGCTTTAAAGTAAAACAAATGACACTTTAATCCGTCTACGACTGATGAGCGCCTGAAGGCTTCATTGAGCTGAGGAGTAATCACAGCAGTCCTTCTGAACACAGGAGGAAACCAAATGGCACACTGAGTCGCAACACTTTAATCAGGGCCCATTATGAGTTAGCGCTGCCGCCTTCCCATTTTTCCTTTTTGTCGTTCACATCAGTGCATGCAAAGTAGGAGACATTCTAATGACCTGGGTAAAATGCATTCATGGTCACAACACGCTTCATCGCACAAGTTATTGCCTCAAATGCTGATTCTTTTCAGCTATACGCATAAACAAGCATGGATACAATGCAAGAGCACATTAATGGGTGCACAGGTCTACTCAATGCGCTATATAGGATTAATCCACCTCAGATTGTTGCCGTTATGGCTTTATTTTAGAAACAACCCTCCAGTTCAGCACCATTCACAGTGCTTAGAACACTCTGAAAAAATTATCACACAGTAATACCCGCTACAAATATCTGTGACAAAGGCTAAACAGCAACATTGACCATTGTGGGACACTATTTGATAAATTAAAGGGGTGGCTTAAGAATCTAAACTACAGCAATTCACATGTCTTGTACTGACATGTTTGAATGGAATCTGTGGCTTACAGGGCGATTTGTTTCTTAAACTGTAAACCGGTTATGAATTTACATCTGCGTGGTACTCCTAAATGCAGATGTCTTGAGGCTCTAAGTTTCAGTGTAAGTTAGACATGTGCTCAGAGAACAGTGATGCTGTGCTGTTGTTCTGTTTGAGCCTGAACACGTGTTAATAGACGGTTTACATATGTGGTCATATTTAAAATGGCACCATCAAATGACACAGCACAACTGCTCCCTTCAGCCATGTGCATTTGTAATAGGCACCTTGGCATTTGGAGACTTGGTATTTTATATATATTCTGTGATTAATTATTACCTTTCAGTTAAAACGCTGGGTTCGTGTGCTGGTAGATTTTCTACCGGAGGGAGCTTTTGAGTCCATTAACACATAACCATTTTGTTGATTTACAGTGTACACTACAGTACCTAAATGTGATCTAAATTTTCCCAACAGATGTTCAATGATGTCTTGAATGGAAAAGCATGACTTTAATTCATTCTTATGATATATAAATACATTGCTTTCAGAAACTCTAGTCTCATAATCTGAGTTGTACACCTGCTCTCACCACTGATTGGGAAACCTGATTTAAGTGCTTTACAACCTGTTAGAGTACAGAACTGTGAGATATTTTTAAATGAGACCTTGAAAAACATTCTTTCTGTGACTTCTTGAAAGAAAACTGTTAAATCTACTGTTTAAAGAGATTTTTTTGTGGGAACCAGCATCTGCAATCTAATTTTTATTATATGTATTATATTATAAGGATTATTATATTATTATATATTATAAGGATTAGATTGATGATGGAATCCTTGTTAATATTAGTAATTAGTATTCGTAAGTATATTGAGTTATTCGTAATGTTCACATTTCAGCAATTGTGTTGAATAATTGTGGTTTGTTCCCCCTCAAATTGATTTCCAACTCAAGAGGATTCTTATCACATGTGGCTTTTATGATTTTATTGAACTTCTTAAGTCAAAGTCCAGTTCAGCATAAGAAAAGACTGTAGTTGTGGTAAAGGAGAGTTGATGGTAGGCCTGTTTAAAATTCTACCAAAGAGGTGGAATGAACACTAATGTTGGCATTAAAGAAGTAATGGTGACTAATAACTCTTCTTAGGTAATGTTCTCGAGACACTAGATGCATCCATGTGCTTACATCATTATTTGCCTTTTGCTATGGTGCCCTTTAGACAGTGGCCTCGGAGTGGCCTATTTATTTCCTCCACATTTCACAATGTAGTGGAAATAAATAGTTATCTAAGAGAGGAATATAAACAATCTTCTATTTAAAGCTTAACATAAGTTTCAATTTTAGTCTGACTGTGTTGTCCTTTAGTCTGATGCCTGCTGTTGGGGTTTGTGCTTCCTTTATTGCCAGGTAACACTAAGTATTTTTAATGTATGTGTGTGTAGCTCAAGAAGGGTCAAGAGATGCCGAAGGGTCCAGAGGCGGAAATAGCCAAGATGGAGAAGCTTCTCAGTTTCCTGAGGGAGCCAGAACAAAGCCAGGACACAGTTTAACACCACCAGCATGGCATCTGTGCCCAACAGGTCAACATGGTACAGTCTTTTCTTCTGATTCATAAAAGCTCCACTTCCTTGTTCAGTGTTGGTTGTAAATAAGAGCATGACAAGAAAAATGTTTGCATATGTTTATTAAAATGCTTTCTCTGGATTTAACTTCACTTTTTGAAAGATTATTCAGACTGAAGCCGTCGCCCATCCTTTGTTTTTGCAGAATTGGCAAACATCACACAAACTACTTTAGAATTCAAATTACTTTGCCAACCTTCTCTGCAGGGATCTTTAAACTCCTTCCGTGTGTACTGTTCAAGTTGATTAAGCTAAAAAGTTAGGCAGGAAGTTGCTGTGAGGGAGCAAGGAGATAAATCAGCGTAATGGATCAAGCGCGTGTGGACCACATCCAGCCAACTAATCTTAGCTGGCACATAATTTCATGGGCGATTGTCCAAAGAAGAACTCGAGGCTTTTTAATGTTTCACCGATCTGGAGGATTCTGCAGTGAAACATCTATATTTTTTATCTTATAGTTGATTTCTCTCTGACTCATATTATTCAGTAAAGTACCACCCAAAGCTCTAATGTGGCCCAGACTCCAGATTTATCTCTGCTACTGGGAGCTTCTCTGCCTTTCATGTCCTGCTGTGATCACACGCAGTAACTTCTCCTTCATGTGTAATTTCCACAGCTTCAGTGGGAAAGATCAGCTCAGTCTTTTCGTTTTGGCACATAATGTGGAACAAATGATCATGACCATGAAGTTGTAACTGAAATTCATAAATAACACATTGAGACCATTATTGCAGGAAAAGGAGACCTACTGTTAGCTAAAGATTATCTTTTATCACTTTACCATTTTGTAGATTTTGTAGCCACATGTACCATGGTTTGGCTTAGCAGCAGAGCAGTACAATTGCTACAAAGAATGACATTAATACACTGGTGATCATTTCACTTTATATGATTATACACTTATAACTCAAATTGGCTTAATCTCTCATATCGGCTAAAAGTATTTATGGTTTTTAAGATTCAGTACATAACATTTTCAAATTCTACAGCATGCCTTGTGGAGTCACAAACTGCGGTACCAGCTACAGTATGTTGCTTAAACGTCTAGGTATGAATACTTTTATGTAGCTTGTGTGACATATGGGCAGCTCCTACCTTAATCTTTTGGATCTTATAGGTTCAATTAATCTGTATGTGACCACGCCTGTCAGTATGAGGGTTGTACTGAGGATGACAAAACTTCAAATAAGCCTCTCTACTCTTTATGTAACACCCTCGGCAAGGCGTTATGCCTGGCAGCGCACTCATATTTATGAGTGACAATGACACACACTCACTCATTCCCCATAAGATCCAGCCCCTGTTGTGACCAATAGACTGGCTTTTTCTCTCTGTCATGTCACCATGTCAATTTAGGGGATATGTTTAGAAATTCCCAAGAACAAGCCTATTTTTTCACTCCATATGTGCATATGTCCTTAGGCCTTTGTGTTTGTGTCGACCCTACAGCGCATTCACATTGGCATGCCACTGTAAACCCTTTCAAACCATGGTTCAGATCTGACAAGTGATGGCTGTTCAAAAATAGTTTCCTCACTCCAGCACAGCTTATTGCAGCTGTCACTGGCACAGCCACCTCTGACTTGAACAAAAATGGTTTTAAAAAATTGCAAGTACAAGTGCTAATATTCCTTGCGAGTGTTCCTTTTGCTCTTGTGAAGGTGCAAACCAAATACATCACTTGTTGCTACATTTGACTCATCGTTCTGCAGTCAGGAGGTCAAGAGGTACTTGTGCTCACTCATCTGCTGGGCCTCCGCTTCACTCAGAGCCAACACCGGCAGGCTCTCTGGGCTAGAGGGGACCATGCAGGCTCGATAGACAATCAGACAGAGCAGGAGGAGCAGGAATGCAACAAATGTGTTGCAAGCAATGGCCACCAAGGCGGCCGTCGACAATCCTGCTGTGCCTTGAGATTCCATCCTGACGACTATACTGCAGGTTCCAGTGTCAGTCAACTTAAATGTCAGATTTCAAGTTGCTTCCATGATGTGGTTAGTTCATTAGGGAAAGTGAGACTGTACTTCACAGTTTCTTCCCTTCATCATTTTTCATAGCCACAAGTTAACAAACATGTCTCTAAAAACTTTTTTTTTAAGTGGGATTAAAGAAATTAGCAGCTACACAGTGTTTTAGAATCAGGTGAGACAGCAGGGGAGTCCTCCTTTAAATTTTCCTGCAGAGACAAATATTGGCTCTGTTTATCTTGATTTCTTCTTTAAGGTGAGATACCACCACTTCACCGTATGGCTTAGTCTTTCAGCGCTCCCCAGTAGAGATGATTGTGTGCAGTGTGCAGCATGAAATGATTCTTATAGTTCCAGTGAATGCCTCCTGGTGTCTGTAAACGAGGAAAAAAGGGAACAATTGTGAATGATTGCACATAGCACTGTAAATGGGACTTAAAACAAACTGTGTCATTCATTGAAAACCCATTTGTGTAATTATTTATTGTTGACACCACGCTATAGTTTTATGGTGTTATTGTGTATTCCTTTTATCTTAAGGTCAAGGCTTAAAGTTTGCCATGTGATCATTTCAAACTTAACCTCCCAGATTGATAAACTTACTCAACCATAGGTACAAAGGTTGCACAATAAAATGTCACATTAAACTGGTCCTAAGAGGTGGTCCAGCCTTTTATATCTGTTGAATCCAGCTCATGATTGCAGGTTGCCAGTCTATCACAGGGCCAAACACACAAACAACCATGTAGGCTCACACTCACTCCAAGGGTCAATTACAAATAACCAATCAACCAAACATGCATAATGTTGGAGTGTGGGAGGAAGCCAGAGTACCCAAAGACATCCCACGCATGAAGGGGAGAGCATGCAGACTCCACACAGAAAAGTCTAGTCCGATCCATCTTCAGCTGTATGAAGGCCTGATGAGTGACCACACAGCCAGCCAAAGGCTGCATGTACTACACTATATGTCATTTGCATTTAGAGTCAAATGATTTTTTTTTTAATCAGCCATCAACATGAGCACTTGCAGCACATCCACTGTTAGTCAGCTGCAAAAAAATCATTTTCACATGTGGAAATATTCCTCAAAGTCTAGGATATTCCCAGAGCAGGACGGCTCCTTTCAGTTACATCTTTAGGTATAGTAGGTGAAAAACGTTCTATCTTATCAACAAAACACACAACAGAACTTTCTTAACAAGTTAACAAATGGCCCCTCTTTAATGTAAACTACACAAAACTGTGAGAAGATTTAATCTTTTCTATAATTTTTTTTGAGGGACTTCCTCCTTTTATGTAGTTTCATCCTGAAATATAACTATACCTTGCATCAAATTAAACTTAAACTTGCTTTTGTTTACTTTGGTAGACGTGTAAGTCCACCATCCCTCTCATTCACATCAATGGACACTCAGATTCACCTAACAGAGAGATCACATTTTGATGTTGAAGCACATCTTCAAGTGCTAGACTGAAATTAATTTCTATAATTGGCAAATCATTTGGCATATTTACAGAGGAAAGTAGCCCTCATTGGTGTGAAACGGGGAAGCTGCACTCTGGCTTCGGTGAGTTAGGAGTGTTTCCTTTTATTTGGTCATGGGCTCTCATCATTTACCAGTGCTAAATGTACGGCATTATATTTAAGCTTACAGTTGATCTTGCTGATTGAGCAGTACTTACTTACAGATCTCCGCCACCACTTCTGCACAGGTTGCGAGTAACAAAGATATCACCCTAACTCAGTTGAATTAAGTGGGTCTTACTCCTGGTCTTTTTCTTTTTGCCTGTTTCCATCTAACACACAAAGCTCACAGGACTGGTGAGACCGTCACACAAAAACGCACAATGCTTTCTAATCAGATTCCTGTAATGTAACAGGAGACCAGGCAGCCCACAGAGTGCGATGAGGTGTGAATATGATAAAGTGTCTTGATATATGATCTAACCTTGATGCAGACTTCAACCCTCAGTGAAGTAGGAAGGAGGAGTGTTTTTTTTTTCTCATACTTAAATGATGGATGCCAAAAAGTCTCTTAGAGATCACTTCTTTCATCTTCTCTGAACTGATTACGTCCTATTTTAAGAAGCGCTCGTTGACACTGATCCAATGCAATAACACAATTCAATAAGATTGTTGACTTTGAGTCGGCGAGATGATAAGACTTTTGAATTTGTTCCAGCCTACTGTGCTGTTATCTGACACGGCAAAGTCCTATGTTGATACTAGTTTCACACTTACCTGACAGACTCTGCCATCCGTTTTGTCTTGAATATGAATGAATATCCCAGTGTGTAATTAACTCGTCTCCCATTGTCCGTTTTTGTTCACATAACACTTCCCTCTGTAGCTGTCTGCCGCACTCCTCATCTTCTCCAGTATCTGCCTCTTCCTTCGCTTTTCCGTCTGCTCTGATGCACAACACACATGACAAGGCAGGAACGCGCACTGCCAGTGCACGAGCTCTCCAATGGCAGAGATGCAGAGGAGCAGGGGGAGGAGGGGCTGTGCGAGCGGATGTCAGAAGTGATATCAAGCATAGGGGAGAAGAGAGCCTTTTGGATGTAATTACACAGGTCTCCTGCTGCAGACCTGAGAAAAAGGGGTGTGTAGGCTGTTTTCCAGAACAAGCAAAGCCAACGCAATGACCCGTGTGTTGCTTTCCACTGCAAAGAAATGGCAGAAAAATGTTGTATTTGGACTGGTCAACACATTAATGGAAACAGAGGGGAATCATAATGTGCTCCTTTGGCAGCGACCCAAATTAAGATTCAGTCAAGGAGATGCTGTAAGTCACCAGTGCTACTCCAAGCAGGGCGCATTTTTGCACAGTTTCCAAAGTCTCTCCCAAATCCTACAGAGGTTTTTGTTCTGCTCTGCCATCCTGTTGCTGCTTGCCTTTTCTTGAGTTGCCTCCTGTCTCCTTTGATCCACCTGTACCTTTACAGATGTGATAAAGCTCAGAAACAGTGCAATGTCTGCCTTTTAGCATCTTAGGTCAGTACTACCATATCATTGTGTGGCAGTAAAGTACACAGTCCTTAGACCCCTTTTACATATTCAGACTGACAAGTCTGGAATATATCTGTGAAAAAAATGGGTTACAGGTGTTTGTCAAATTAAAAAACACATTTTGGATGAAACCTAACAAAGATTGATACAACCCCATGAGCTTGTCTGCACAACTCAGTATACCTCAACTGAAAGACTGACATTTATGAATCATTTCAAGAAAATAACCATTCATTTGCCTGGTCAGAATTATTTCTTTTATTATGATTCAGCAGAAGACTCCTCTCACCCAGATGCACCACAGAGCGCCACAGGAAATCATTCCTGCCTGTGGTCATCAATCTTTACAACGCCTCACTACGAGAGTCAGACACCCCCCCCCCCGCAATTCTGACTTAGTAAAATGAACAGCTCAACATTTAGTTTGAGGACCCTCTACAGGCCTAAAATATTATTGCAGGACAGAGACTTCAGGAGTGGAATTGCAGAATTGTTTATTTAAATATGTCATTTTTAACTGACTACTGATACCAGCAGTACACAAATAGTGAGTCCACTGACATCGGTGTGATTTCTTCAAGCAGATGTCTGATTGTTGCTGCTGGAAACAACTTTTCCAGCAGCAAAAAACTGGTTTAATTCGAGGCACGTTGGTAGAGTGCTTTTGTTTTTGTTTTCCATGCAGGCCTGTGTATTTTTCTCATTAAATGAAATCACATTCCTGTGCATGTGTAAAAATGCTCTGGAGTCCTTTTACTGAATAAGCTATTCTTTTTTTTTCATGTTGTTGGCAGGACAATATAGTGCATGAATTATATTATGCCCAGAGCTTATTTTTTCCACCATCATTTTTGTTCAGTGGGAAGTGGAGTCTTTGAAAAAGTGTTTGTTCATCTCAAAAGATCCTTCTTTGATCACAAAAATGTATGCAAACCAGGATACAAGTTTTATCCTCGCGTGATGTGCCAACGACCCAAGAAGCCTCCTTTGATGTGAAGAATGTTCAGTGGCATTAAAGCCAGGTGGCTGTGGAGGAAAGTCCATGACAGACTCTCCATGGTATTCTACGGTCATGAAGGAGTTCTTGCAGAGCTTTGATGTGTGTTTGAGCTCATTATCCCGCTGTAGTATTAATCCTCTACAACCATACTTCTCTTTGAATAGTTTGGAATCTATCCCATCCTACTCCAGAGCAGTAAATCCTGATGTTTAGGAACACCTTTCTATAATTGCGCCAAAAGTTCCTTCAAAATATTAAATTTGACTAATTTTAAAACAGGGTGTTCATCAAATATGCAAAGTCAGCCTCTTTTTAAAGACTACTGTCTCTTTTTAAAAGCAACTTTCTAGCAGGAATAGCATTTTGGTTTATGAGTTTCACGTGTTTTGACGCCGCATTTCTTGCTATAACACCGCCAGATAGGAAGCACATCCTGTTTATATGGTTAAATATGCGCATTTTGATTTACCTGGATAGGCCTAAGGAGGTCAGAGCAAAAAAAAATATCATACGATGGTCCTGTCTTATATGTCAAGATCTTTTGTGTTCTTTTTTAATGTTCTCTTATTTATGTATGTTTTTTAGATCACCAGTACTGCTTCAAATCCCTCTGCTACAGATCAGCCCTACTTTTCTCATGGGCATAAACTACAGGTATGACCCAGTTTCCTACCACATGTGGGCTTTGAAAGGGCATCCCTGTCAAACTGAAGATAAATGGCAACAGGTCAGACACAGTGACTTTTAATAAGTTACTATTTTTAAAACAAAGATTTTGAATACACAACCAGTTGAAGGTTTGGACGTACCATTCCATGCTATAAGGTTTGTTTAGACTATTGTAGAGCAAAAGTGAACAAATCCAAATACATGGAATTGTGATAAACAAGAGCTAAAGGTTCACGACTCCAAAACCTTGTATTCTTTATGTGTTTGCCTCTATCAGTTGCATTGTGTCAAGGAAGTGTTGGTGTGCAGAAAACAGCTTTTTTTTAAGCCATGTCATTCCCATGCTGAAGCTGGCTTTCATCAGCACCATGTTCACCAGCAGAAATGAGCTGATTAGAGTCTCCAGACTGATTAACCAAGAGGGTTATTCAAGTGAGCTGAATCAAATGACTCTGCCCCACAATCACCCACTCTCGTCAAAGCAGACATGAGTTTGACCAAGAAGAAGTCAGCAACTTGTTCACTTTTTTTAAATACTGTTGGAAAAGTGACCTGTGCAATTAAACTGGTTTAGAGAAAACTAAGTGTGTTCCCAGCTGTCGTCGATGTGAAAGCTGGCTAAATCTGCCGAAACAAAATTAGAAAACATTTTTTTCTACCTTTTATAATAATATTTTCATGTTTCTTTTTCTATTTACGTAAGATATCACAATCCAGACATTTGTACACAACCCAGACCTCTGCCTTTTATTGTGTTACATACAAAATATTCCCAAATTGAACATTTTAAGCACAAATTAAATTAAACTAAATAAATGACGAATACAGACTGTTTCCAGGCTGTTTCTGTGTGTGCCTGTTACAACAGGACCTTGGAAGATATTAATCAAACTCAGAGAAACTCTGTTTTAAGACCTCAGTGAACTCAGCAAATTGCAACAGACCATCAATTTCCTATATATCTTCCTACCATTTTCTATTGTTATTCCTACACTGACAGTAATACCCCCATACCACACCATCCATCCTCATCTCTTTAGATACCTCAGTGTCTTATTGCTAAAGGTTAAAGCTAAAGCAATGGGTTATAAATTCAGCAGCAGATTATCTCTCAACTGTGCAGCTTTGCTCAGATCTGCAGAGAATCCTTCTGCCCACTGATGTGGTGTTTTTTAGGTCATTAACTTAACTGTATTGCGTCTTTCTCAGAGTGGCCACTTCACCAGAAGAGTTCTACACTCCCCAATACGGTGGCAATCAGCACAGTCTTAGTAGCCACTGGCTGAATATGAAATGCCTCTTCCAAGCTCATGGGCAAATATTTGGACATTGAAAATATCATGTTTATATTTGCTGCTGTCTGGAAATGTGATATGCCCATGCTAAGATTAATCTGAATCAACCAAACGTGTCGGTCAGCAGCCTATTGGCCCGTTTCAATTAGAGTAGCATGTTCAGTTTGTGCACTCTCACAAATTACACATTTAAAAATTACAAAAAGAGAGACAAAATACACAGTTAGAGATACAATTGAAAAGGAACACCTTCTCAAAAAAATCCTCATCCGGGGTTAGTTATTTCTTGGATTTCAGGCAAGCTAAAAGTATGTTTTGTTTGCTCTGCACGATTCCCACGGTTATCTTCTGTTATTTATTCAGACTGGATGAAACTGCTCAATAGGAGGACTGTGTCATGGGATATGTGTGCATAGAGACAGGTGATCTGGTGTTAATGGAGCCAGCGTGTTAGAGTGTCCTATTCATGAACGCTTTATGTGAGTCATGGACTGCTCCCCAAAGATATTGGCAATAAAGTTGCTTGCAACAAAACATCGCTGCCACAGATGAATTGTTGAGCGCGCAAACTGGAAAATGACACAATAATTCTATCACAAAGATTGTTTTTTAATGTAGTTTGAAAAGCTGAAAGCGCTGAACTGCTTTGGTTAATTTTATGTCTGTGAAATTCTCCGTCTTCTTCAAATAGTACAGTAATCAGTTTCCTGCCAGAAAGTCTACCTTGATCCCTTGATAATCTTGCTAAATGCTTTCAAGTCGCCTAATCCCTGCACTCATTTTTCATCTCGTCCTCTTGAGTGTTGCTTTGGTGTGACATCAAAGAGCTTCTGCTACAATCACATCGCAGTTTTCTTTCAACTAATGTGAGATAATAGTGCGAGATTACTGCCAAACCAGATTTGTCCAAGTGCATTATAATGACTACTGGGACATGGCATCAAGCTTAAATCATCAGAGAGGCTTCTTTGAATTGCACCTTGATAGAGAGAATTGGTTTGTCAGAAACCGTACATACCACAAATCAAATGTGAGGTGGACTTTTGTCTTGGTTTTGTTCGTTTCATGTAGGTGGACTTTGTGTGTAATGGGGTCCTCAGGGGACACATTGTTTGGTTCATCAAGAGCTGTGAAATGCATGAAAGCAGCCTGAAAGTGCTCAATAGTTTTCAGTGGCAACAATAAGAAAACTGGGATGAGTCATGAAATGAGACTGAAAGAGAGCTGCTTGAACCTGTCTGACTCATCGCTTTATTTCCTCCTACCTTTTAGGCTACTTTTCACATGCTTCAGCCGTCCTGCAACAGTGTCAGTTTTGTTTTGACCATGTGACAGAGTGGGCAGTCGTGGATGGGAAATCTGCTATATTTAGATCCAGATATACTATGACATATCAAACGACCAAAAAAAATGGCCCAGGGAGGCAGTTTGTGTTTCAAGGCTCCAGGAAACATGCAGGTGAAGTTAAATGTGTGAGGGAGACGTTTCAAACGTGTCTTTATGAATAACTTTCATAACAGGAAAAAGAATAGTGCTCCAAACCATCTAAAATAGTTTTTATTTCATTCTCAAAGGGGTTAAGTTAGTTAAGGAAATTACAATGTGACACACAGTGGTGAAAGTCAACAGTCTTTTGACTTTCAGTTCCCACAAAAATGGGTCAATGGGCCTTTTTTTTCCCAGTAGCCCATACAAAACAATTATTTACACTTTTTCATAACTGCAGTCACAATTTACAATCAAGGAATTGTACAAGAATCACAGTGGAGCAGAATCACAGAATCAAAGTACGTTGGCATGTTTTACATGTAACCATGACAGAGATTTTTATTTTACATTTTTAAAAGTTCTACATTTCACCTGCAAAGGGACAAATGTTGTTTTTATAGATTTTTATAGCTGGTTGCTTCTCTTTCAGAATCACAGAGAAAATTGTGCAGACATACAGTGCATTTGTGAAAACAGGACCTCTCGACACCAAACAAGTGCAGTGAAAAAATGGAAAACAGTGCCATGTCACAGATTTGAGCTCTCAGATACCTTTTGCAAACATAAATAAGCTAGTTTGAGCAGTAACACGTTGAAACCCATTGCTGGAGCTTCGACACTGATACTTGAAAGATGATGAGAGAGTGTTTCCAGGTCTCCTTAATTCAAAATTACATTTCTTTTAAATATTTCCAGAAACTTTGGCATCTTGGAAAACAGATCAGCAGCTTTCTGTGAGTGCTGTTTACCAGCTTGATTAAAAAAAACAGATGCATAAGATGGAAAAAAATGAAAGGGACTTTGGAACGTCTCCATTTATCAGACTCTGGTGTTTGTGCTCCTTTGACTGTGCTGCGACACGCACTTAGATGTCACCTTCAAGAGAATTCTTCATTTTTAGAATTCTATCAATCAACCAGTTTTGCTGACGGCACATATTAGCTATGGATAGTAGAGTTAGTGTTTTCATCTTTACTTGTTGTTATTTGTTGTAAACAAAAATGCCAGTCTCATTCCAACCAGAAAACTGTGGGACATATGTTGCTAGAGAGCTCCCGTTCAATTGAAATCCTCAATTACATAAAAAGAAATACTAATTGGACTCACCAGAATGTATAGTTATAGTCTGTCCATGAAAAAAGCAGGAAATAGGAACAAGTGATCTTCAGACTGAAGTCACCAAGACCTCCGATTCCCATTAGAGCCAATGCAGACCTTTCTATCCAAAGGTTATTGTTCAACTGCTTTGCATCTCTTTACTCTTCTTCTCCACTTCCACAGTGCTAATTATCCATCTGGATTATCACAGAGAAGAGTGTGTTAAGTAATGAACATTAAACAGGGAACTGATATGGCATGCAATAAGACAAATCTGTTACCCATTTTATCTCTTAGACACAGAATAATTATTTGGTTATTTAATCATATAATCATATAGTCATGCATATTACACCACAGTCTTAAGCAGAACCATTTCTATAAAAAAAAACACACAAAACAATTAGATTGTGGTGGGCGTCAAATAAGCAGAAAAAGCAAACTCTCTGCCTTACTGTGGTAAAATGAACGATGCAGGAGATGGCGATGATGAGAATTCCTATGATGATGGAAGCAACGGAGACATACTTGGCGTTCCTGCCCAGTCGCCTGGAACCATCATAGTCACCTTGATAATAACTGCTTCTGGACTGGAAAGAAATCCCATTAAAAGGTAACACTTTTATCAAATGTTTTAAACCTAAACGTCTGACACTGACAGACCCACTGTGGGGGGTTTTTAATATATACATGTATAATTTACTGAGCAGTTCTTATACCTGCAGCTCTTTCATCTGTATTTTTCATGTTCAAGTGAATAATTTAGGTCACTTTTTCAAACTGTGTCAAAATGAAAAGTGTTCACATTCTGGTTTGCATTTTGGCTCTAAGAGTATCATTTCATTTTCCAAAAAAAGAGTGTATGATAGGCAGGGCAGGTGTGTGTGACTGGGTTACATATTGGTGTGCAACACAGCCGCTCACAGCAAATCAACACACAGCGTCACTGTGACATTTAAAAAACGGGATTCTGTTCTTTGATGTTGTTTCCTTAATGTGATATTCCTACTATGGACGATAACCCTTTGCTAAGTTGTTCAGTCCATCCTTACCATGACAGAGAACACCAGGCCCACAATGTTGACGGGGTATGCTGGACAAAAGCAAGCCAACATGGCCAAAAAGAGGTAGCTGCGGAGTGGAGGCGGGGGTTCCTGCTCCTCTAAAGAGCCCAAAAATGTGCTCCCGCTTAAGGAGCTTTTCACCTGTGGATCTAGCATCGTGAGTGCCGTTGATGGGAAGAGCAGTTGTACACTGCTGATGGGCAGAGTCCTGTAAAACACCCAAGTCAAAAATCCTGAGGAGATGCAGATATGCTTAAAAAAATTGGAGAAACTGGAAAGTAGAGGAATCCAACTTGACGTGCTGGAGTCAGACTTTTTACTGGCAAAAGTTGGAAACCAGAAGCTGAACAGGCTCCATGGTAAGTTTGGTGCAGTGTGCCGGATCTCTTTTGATCTCCTGTGCTGGAAAAATTGTAAGTTTGTACACAGGAACAGAAGGAGAGGGGTGGGAGGAGATCACTAACCCTCCTGGCCTCTATCCAGAGTACAAGTATGAGCGTCAGACCCGGGGCTGGCCTGGAACCTCACACCACCAGCGACCAGCGCAGCGTTAAGTGTGAGTCTTGTTACCACAGCACACCACAGGGCAGTTTAATACTAGTTGCATGCAGCCCTATGTTTGCTTGTTCTTTGTCTTTTGGTTAAAACACAAGAAAACAGAGCTGAGTTATAGTTACCCATAAAAACACCCCCCCTCCTGCAGATGATTTGATTTAAATGCCATTTCATATAACATCTCTGCAGCTCTGTTCACTGGAAGTAATGGCCTTGTTGCACTTCTCACATGGGAGCCATGTGTCACTGCAATCTGCTGGAATACCTGATATTACTTACGATGAATCTCCAAACATTTCTGAGGCTTTAAACAATTCTGATGAAAACAATGTGGGCGAGGTAGAGATGTGTTTTTTTTTTTCTGTCAGATAGCATCAGATTGTCTTTGGATTGGAACCAGGGAGGTTTTAGACTTTGGCATTACCATCTATGAGCATTTTAAAGAGCAGTTCTTTTCCAGCAGAGTGTTGGATTTTATCAGCATGAGAACCATTACTCACTTTAACCCTTGATGGTTTTAACATGAAGTGCTCATGAAAAAGAAAAGAAAAATAAATCACAAAACACTTTTGAATAATTTATTAGGATCTTTAAATTGAAATTGTCAGAAAAATAAAGAATTAAAAAAAGGATATCTTGGCGGGGGACAGTCCAAATCTCTAATGACTTTATCTGAGCTCACGTAGAGCTGCATTCAAAACATTGGCCCTTTTTCTTACAGTAACACAACAAAAGACATTAAAATCAATATACAAGGGGGAACAAAACAGAAAAATATAGTTTCTTTTTTCTGAAAATAAGTCTTAATGCCGCAGAATTTTCCACCTGTTATCTGCTTTTACCAATAATAGTAATATTTTCATTTGTAAGGTAAAAAATAACTTATTGCTTTATTGTAAGTTAAAAAGTTACAGTGTTGGTGTCCAGCAGTAGTTTTTTTTTTTTAAATCATGTCCCAGCCTGTCTGACAGAGGAGCTACTGACTGGATCAGGAAGTTCTCTGCTGAAATGAACATCAAACAAGCTCCAGCAAGAAAGGCTGAACAAACAAGCTACTTGTTTTTGCAAAGTCTCCATTTGTTCCAGCGTTTTGACTTTTCCTGCCAGCTAGTGTTGTCTTGAGGTCCTATATCAGAACTGACTGGGAGCAGTACCCTGTTCCATTTCTGGTTCCCTACCCAATCCCTGTCTTTTCACCACCACACAGAGCAGCAACTATATATAAACAATAATATGTTGGTTCCGGAGGAGCACAAACTTATTACAACTAAATATGAAATGGGAGAGTCAGAGGAGAAGAGCAGATGAACCAAAATGGAACAGAGAGATCTTTTTTTTCAGTACCAAAGAAAAAGGCAATCAAAATGTTCCTTCGTTGCCAGAAGTAGTTCCATATTACACTTTGATGTATGCGCACACTCACACACACACGCTCAGACGCAATCACATGCACCTTCAATAGTGATAAGAGGACAGAAGATGATCATGATTTTCTACAACTGCTTTCTCTGAGAATGTCCTTCATTTGTTTTCACGGTGGACAACACCGCATAAAAGAAACTTTTTTTTCAAAAGAAAACAATTAACAAAAACATCAAGAAGTGAACTGCGCAAAAATATATATATATGTATATATATAATATTTTCAAAAAGAGGAAGTTAGGTCAACCCCCAATCCCAAGAACCCCTGATTTCTCCTGTTTACGGTTGTGATTCTTCCATAAGTTCATCATGTCAATCTGAAAGTTATCATGAAGATGCAAGACTCAAATTTGCCTTTTCAAGATATAAAGCAAACAAAGGGGCGCGCTTTGGAAGTAAAACTGCTTATAAACCGAACGTATATGCCAGAGAAACTCCTGGAAACGTATTTGCCAATAGCTGTCGACAACAGCGACCTGCTGAAGTGACGCAATGCAAGTCTGGCCCACAGTGTACGCATATGCCATATGCATTCTGATAAAAGTAGTGAGATGATCACAGATAAAAGCAAATGACATCCAGTCAAATTGCTGTTAACCCTCTCTAAACCATCCAATGACATGCCAGCTGGTTCAGTAACCCCACCACCCCACCCCACGTCTATGTACAATATCTTACAGGAAGACATAAAAACATTGTTTTAAAACCAATTACAGAATAAAATACCTTACAGATTATCATTATTATGTCAATATTAATAACAATATTACAAAGGTTTTGTTTTTAAAGACTACCAAAATATACATTTTAGTTTTTTTGTTTGTTTTTTCTTGTTTCCGTGACACTTCAGTGTAAAAAAGGACTTTGTTGGGTTTGTTCTTCCTTTTTCAAAAATGCTTTACGGACAAAGATCCATCTTGCAGGGTTTTTTTTTTCTATGTGTTCACATCAGTAACAGCTTTGAAGGATTTCATGATAAAATGACATATCACATTAAAATTAAACAATAATAAAAAAAATCTAAATATTTCTCTGTGTCTTGCTCAAAGACCCAAAGATGACAAACGGTTTCTCAGTTTTTTTTTCTTTCTTTTTTTGTTTTTTTTTGCAGTTTTCTCTCAGCTTCAAAGAAAAAATAAGAAGATTAATTGAGTTGGGAGGGGGGGGGGCGTCTAAATGTTACACTACATGAGGACAAAAGAGGAGAAATGGGAGAGTTATGTTGAAGTGAGATTAGTACAGCAAAACGAGAGTTCTGGTTTTAAAAAGATATTCAGTCGGTGGGTGGAGCCACGTGGAGCCAGGTCAGCCTGGTAGAGTGTGTGGTCAGCCAATCAGGTTGTGCCATCAATGGGCAGCCAGCATTCTGATTAGCTGAACAGCAGAGGAGAAATCCTCCAATCCTCAGTGACCTGAGTTTTCTCAGTGGTAGCCATTAGTGAATGCGGTAGCAATCAGGGGACCCTGAGGACACATAAAGGAGAATGAATACTCTCTTTCTGAGTTCACTGAAAACAGAAGTGCAGGGTTGCATGTATTTAAAAAAAAAAGGGTGAGAGGGTGGGTGAGGGGCTTTGCGACCTACCCCTAGACCATGGCCGAACCCTGTGCTGGGCGCGGGGCTAGCGGCACTGATGTAGCTGCTGACTCCTGAGTCCTGATTGGCTGCGGCATACAGGTCAGCCATTGGTCCTGGGCTGCTCGTGCCCAGGAAGCCAGCTGTGCGTGAAGGGGTGGAGCCTGAGAGGCAGCACAGACATACATACCAGGCTTCAACACTCCAGAGGAGCTGAAATATATAAGCCTCTCATATAGGAATATGCAAAGCAGGCAGATACCTCGAACTACGGCGGCTGCTGCGGCTGCCATTGGTCCATATGCAGTCAGAGGGATGGCTGAGAATCACAAGACAACTCCGATTATTACACCTCAGTGCACACATGTTCACAATGCTCACGTATCAGATTGAGCTGCAATAATCCACAGCTCAGTGTGGCTAAATATACATCTGCTCACACATCTGTCATATCATCTAAATCCAACTGGTGGAAGGGGGAAAATGCATCCGTGATAAGGAAACCAGTGACATCTGGCTCTAGGTCCACTGAAAAGGAAACCACGTGGTTGACAAAAACAAAAAGCATAATTTTCCTAAATAAGGATGTCAAGATTATCCAAGAGATTTAACAGCAAAACGAAAAAGAGCCCCAGGCTTTTCCAAGCCTATAATAAACAAGCAATAGATATGATTCATTATGTTATTACTTTAAAGTAAAGGAAACAGATTGAAGGGTCAACCAAATATTAAAAAGGAGGAGAAAGTGCCTTTTAAATCATTTTTAGTTATGATTTTCCCCATTTGGGTTTGGCATGCTTTTTTTGGGAGGGGTTAGGTCTTTTTTTCTGTCACTTATTCTTGCTCAGGGCAGATTTGTGAGGTGTCAGGATAAAATCCATTTGGAATGACTGTGCTACTGGGTAAATGCTCATTCAAACACAGGAATCTTCTGAATTTCAATGGATCATATGCACGGTCAAAAGGTTGAACGTTTCTCTTTAACTGCCTCTTAACACCGACGGGAATAAATACAGGAAGTTATTAACGTTTTCACTCAAATTAAATGGTTGAGTAACTGGTGAACATTAGAGGTGCTAGTAGTAGGATTTTGTTATTTTTCTAGTCTTTGTTCTAACCTAAATCATCAAGCTAATGGAATTTAACTAAGTTACCATTTCAATTCAAATCTAAAGCAGGCAAGCATGAAGCTTTTGGGTTTCTGGGATCTAGTTGAACTGTATTTAGCAGCCATGACACCAAATGCACACAGTTCAGTAAGTGTTTTTTTTTTTTTTTGCTGCTAAATAGGTTTGTTTCTCTCTCTTGGCCTTTGGAGGAGTAAGGAACCACTGACCTGCCAGCTCAGGGGGATGGGATGATGTCAGGAGGGGGGTCCTCTCTAAATGGAATTCTAGAAACAGAGAAGGTCAAGAGAGAGCGCTTTGTAAATACAGTTACCAGCCAGACTACAAAGCCACACACAGAGGCTAGGCCAAAACCAAATCACAGGCACCGAACGTAGGAAAAAGGAAAAACTACTGTGAGGACAGGCAGGAAGGTAGGAGCAAAGGAAAAGGAGGGGCAATACAACCACATGAAAGTGTCTTACATAAGTAGATTAAATAAACAAAACGTAAGAGGCAAGACGCAAATAAAAGAGATCAAATGCCAACAATAAACGTGTGAGACAAAAGGAGATGTTCAGGAAGTGGGAAAACACTCTGTAGAAACATTTCAAAAGTCTTTTTTAGTAAACAGGTAGCGGTATAATATCGTTTTAACTATTATTGTGTGCGTGTACATGAGTGGGAGGGGGAAAGAGATCCATGACCCAGCCTCATACAGCTTTCATGTCCCAGAGGTGAATCAAATGCATGCCACAGTCTGAATCCTTTTATCCCCCCTCTGCAGACCCTCAGAGTCAGCTGTGTGTGGGGGGTGTATGGTCTTACCTGGGAACTGATAAGTGTATCCAGGAGCAATTCCGGAGTAACTACGGCTGGTGTAGGTGGTAGTTTGAAAACCTGGGTAACCTTTGTACAGGAAATTTAAAAAAAAAAAACACATTGGGTTAGCTGGACTGATAAATGACAAGAAATTTGCCTAAAGGTAAAGTGTTCTGATGATGATCAGAACATAAAACCAACCTCTCAGTCTGGATCATTTTTATAAATATTTTGAAACAGCTCAGGATCTAATTATCTCAGGGGAGTCAAAGCCCAGTAAGAAACTAGCCAGGCTTACACTACAAGATTCATTGATCATCAAAGAGCTCTGTGAGATGGCCAGCAGAGGGAGCAAAACAACCACACACCAAAGAGCTCAGCTAGTTTTCTCAATGAAATCTCTTCAATCACTACTTTCCTCCAATACCAGCACATTCTGTCTTTGACTTATTAAATACACACAACAGATTCAAACACAAACCAAATAAGAGACTAGTTCATCCCAAGTTAAATTATCTAATAGGAGCATTTTTACGTGGAGCCTGCAGCATAACAATTAAGAAAAAGGTTACTCCTTTAAATTGACATGTATCCAGAGCAAGTTCTGAGGCGCTTAACTTAAACTACTCAAGCTTACATTCATATATATTTGAAATACTTTACATTAATTCAAGGGCATCTTTCAGGTACTGATTTTTTTCCTGTTTCCTTTGGTCTCCACACAGACATGCATCAAATTTCTCAATACAGTAGAGCCTCTACATAGGAATTTAATTTGTTCCGGGACCTACTTCGTATGTTAAAATATTCGTTTGTTGGTTCAAATATTCCCATAAGAGTACACTGTGATTCTTATGATTCATTCCACAGCTCAAAAACCTACGATAACTCCTTAATAAATACTGCAGATAATTACACATAGCAATAAAAACAAACGCATTATATAACAGATGTAAAAAATAAATAAATTATAAAGAAATAATCAATAAAAAATAGTTTTTTATTGGCACTTAGAGACTGGAGAACCGAGGTGTGGGCTTAGCGATGCAGGAGACGGTCTGTGTGGAGGTAGAGGTGGTGACTGAGATACAGTTTGTACCAAAACTTACTCTGACATTCACTACATGAACTTTAAACTAACTTAGCTTATTTATTTTTATTTAATTTTTATATTCTGTATTATGTTTCTATGACTTTTACTTCGGGTGTCGAGTTGAATATTTGATTGAATTTCACTTCGTATGTTGGAAAATGCGTATGTTTAGGCGATCGTAAGTAAAGGTTCAGCTGTATTTCTCTTTTAGTCAAAGAATTTAGTAGCTACTATTTTCAGTCAAGTTAAAGTATCAACATTATAGCATTATCATCAACAAGAAAACCACTTCTACAGCAGCCTTTCAGTAACAGTCCGGCTGTATCACACCACAATTTTTTCTTTATGTGCATTTGTTTTGGGCTCTTACCTAACATGCCGATGCCCAGCATAAAAGCATCCATCCCATAAGGCATCACTCTGGAGCGGCCTCTGGCTGAGCCTGTTGGTGTCATCACCTCCTTGGGCTGAGCTTTCTTACACTCCACCTGCAGTTACATTTACATTTGCTCATTCCAAACATTTAAGCGTTCAGGAAATGGAAAAAAAAAACGCTGCTCTGCACATTAAATCCGTACAGACTCAAATAAATAAAAATACCCAAAATAAATCCAACGTAACACATGATTTGTGATCTGGTACCTAACTTTGGATGCAACACTGATAAATCCTGATATGTCTAACGAACAACCCTGCACACCAAGTCTGCTTCTGCTCCCATGCCTACCATTTTGTTGTTGATCTCGTGGAAGTGGATCTCGCACACCTTCTCCACCACATCTTCATTCTCAAAGGTGACAAAGCCAAAACCTGAGACAGGCAAAGAACAAAGAAATACAGACGGTTTAACGGCTGCTCTGTCTCAACAGAAAAAAGCCCCGGCTTTAACTTTCTCCCCTGCCTTGATGCGCTCATTACAATGGTCTGGGGGATGAGGCGGCCCGCCCATGTCATGCTTGTCAATCAGGTGGGTGCGGCCTTCCGAACACTGAGCCCTGATCATCATCAACAGGTTCTCTAACTCCCCTTTCCCATCTCCTCGCTTGTTCTCGTTAAGTTTCATCGTGGCGTGTAAGCATCCTGACCCTGGGTGACGAGCCACCAGAGGGGACGCAGATAAACCCGACGGGGGGAGCCCAGAGCAGAGGGAGGACAGGAGAGTGTGACTGGAGAAGAAGAGCGCCCTGTTTCCAGAGGTTTGTGTCACGGCTCCGCCATGCCGCTGCTCCTTTCATTTCTGAGGAACTCGCTCTTGATGTCGACGCGTACTGACACCGTGTGCGAGCGCGCAAAGTGTGCGTGTGACAACACCGCCTACCTCTGTGTCTGTTGGTTGTTTTGTCGAACATGAGCATGGCATCGTCGACCTACGGGAACAAAGCGAAGCATAGATGAGCCCCAACATATTAAGACTCGCACATCATTACCCAGCATGGGGTGCCATTGTCCCTCTTTAGCATCGGGGTAAGAGGGGAAAACAGATGGAGAGTGTTGGGGGGGGGGTGAGGGAGGGGACGACAGGTGACAAAGGAGAAGATTGAAAGGCTGAAAAAGGAGGAGAGTGATGGGGAAATCACGGGAGAAGGTGGGCGTGCTTTGTGGGGAAGAAAATAACGTACAATCTATTAATCTGAAAAACAAGGGAATGTTCAAAGGGGATAAAAAAGTCTTTGGAGTTCCCACAAACTCTGTCCTGCTTGCTCTCACCTCTTTTTGCTTTCATTCGTACACCCTCGCTGTCTTTTTTTTCCCTCTCTGTAAAGTTTACTATTCCCATGGAGACTGTGTAAAGAATTTCAATTAGAAGAACTTGCCTCCCCCCACCTCGTTTCAGTGAATAGAACGGAGAGAAAGCGGTAAAAAGGAGTGACAGCAAAGAAAAGAAGGCTGAAAATCTGAAAACGATAAGATGATTTCAAAAAATCAGTGGAGGATAAAGTTTTGATGAAGGATGGAAAAAGTCTTATGGAAGATTGTGAATTATAGAATAGAAAACAAAGTGAGTTGGAGTCTTTGTCAGTGTGCTCTTCTTTTATTTTCCCTCTCCCTCCTCTTTCCCTTTTGCACTCACTCCACTGCCCTATTCATATTCCACCTCCTCCCCCCTCCCTCCCTCGCTCACTTGTCCTTCACTGGCAGGAAAGTTAGAAGCTTCTGCTTGAGCTCTGCCGGCATGAGGAGGCACACGGGGAGGACCAGGCCTGCGAGCGCTGGAGTGGATATCAAACTTTCAAATCTGCATCGCGGCCGCCCCGCATTGCACGTGCGCACGTGTGCACTGTGACTTCCTGGCTATTTTCATGTGGCATAAGAGCACTGAAACCCAAACCGCTGTAACGTGAGCGGCAGAGGCCTCCGGATGGTCCGGTCGTCTGATTTCTGAAACTTATCTCACATTAAAACCAGGGCGCCCGCGCCTGCTGGCCGGTAAACAGGGACAGCATGGAGGTCGCCTCGGCAACCTTTCCGACTCGCATCCGTGTCAACATATAGCTCGGACACAGGCACATACAGCCACCACCCCCCCTCCCCCCCCTTTACTCCTCTCTGTGTCCTTCATTCAGTTTTTATCCTCCCCCTCCTCTCCTCTCCTCTCATGTCTTCCACCCTTCCGGTCGTCCAAACTCAATGACACAGCAGAGAGCCACAGAAGAGGACACAAGGTAGACAGCTGCAAGCCAACATGTTATCATTAGAGTAGAGTTACACACACACACACACACACACACACACACACACACACACAGCTAGCCCTCCAGCTAGCATTAGCAACATCTATTCTAGAGGAGATGGCTAACTGTGCCAGCCCAAGGAGCTTTCAAGCATCGCTGTTGTGACGGCACGTTTTTTAGGCAAGATTAAGAAATAAAAAAAGATAAAAACGCGGAACAGATATTCCGCTGTTGTTCATCTAATTGTGTTCAATGAGACTGATGGTGCGCGGACATGCAAACCACTGGGTCACGTGTGTGAGCTTATGCTGTGGTCCCTTGCATTCGCCAAAACCAATAAGAAGACACTCTCATGATGTCCCCTGCCCAGGGTGCTGTAAAACAATCTGATTGGATAGCTGTGGGAGTCTGAGATTGGCTTAGCAGCGGCTCAATCACTAACTACTCCGCACTGCATGCAGGGAGTGAGGAAAAGTTAAGGTCATATTCTCAAGTTCTGACATTCTCAGATGTACCGTGGCAATGTTCAACTGAGATCTGGAGGCAGCTGAGCACAGCCTTAAAAATATCCCAGGTTTAGTGAAGCGTGAAGCCATTGTCTGAGGAACAAGTGTTTGCTGACAAGACCATTACACTTTTTTTGCCAGATTATGAAAGGTGGCATTCACATTTTTTCCCTGCTGTCTGCTCACATCTCCCTCTTTCATTCTCGCTCTGGCTCTCCGGCCATCTCTCTCTAAACAGGCCAGCAGACAAAGTGTTCAGTCAAGCCTTCTAATCGCCAGCTCACATGGGTGAGTGGAGTCCCAACTTTTCCCGTCTGCCCTGACCATGCTGCATTTTTCATCTTATTCACTCCCTCCTTTGCTCGCTGCTCTAACATATCCTCTCATTTTATGAGTATCGCTTAAATCACAGATTTTCTTGTAAATTACTTTTAGGTATGCGGTGCAGAGACGCGGGATAAGAAGACATTAGTGGGAATATTCTCTGGGATGAAATGTGAGTGGCTACGAGGCCAAAAGGCCTGAAGGGCTGATCATTAAATGACCTAACTACCTATTTAATTACCATTTTAAAACACACTTCTGTTTTTAGCCTTGGCCAATGAAAAGGGACCATGTCCAAGTTTGCAACCGGGATAAAGATTATCCACATCAAGATTAATATTTTTATTCACAAACATGCTTGTTGCCTGGGAACTTTAAGGGGTAGCAGCCCAGAATTGCAGAATTGTTTGAAGACAGTACACAAACAGAGACCTCTGAGTTCTTGGTGTGGTCAAAAACACCTGACGTGTCAACTGAGCAACCGTTCTAGTCATGTCTGATGAAATGGGCGCAGGTTTGCTTTTGAGATGTATATTCCAAAAAATAAACGCCAGCATGCATCAAAGGCTCGCATAAAATGCAGAGTGCATTCTGTGTTTTCCTTGCAAGGCGGTGCCACAGCATGAAAATAAACAGGACACCAAGTCCTGCTCCATCTAAACCTGCACCTTGTAACCCGGCTTAGATAATAAACAAGAAATACCTCCTGCTCAGCAGGAATGCACTGTGGGATTGCCGCTATCCATGATAGAGCTTTGGTCTCACGTGTCCAAAAAGTCCAAATATTCCCTCATCCTGCGGAGGGAGTGTTGTCTTAGATATGAGTGTCTGTAATCACCAGGGAGAACGGATTCGGCACACAGCCGCAAAACTGCCATTTTAGAGACCAGACTCAGGAAACGAGACACATGTCAGAACATCCACCTGAATGAGTGCGATGGTCACACATTTAATCTCCATTTACCCGGGATGCACAACTTAAAATTAAACAGATCGTCGTTTGAATTTAACCAGCACCTGAAATACGGTAATACCCCGAGCATGAGTCAGAGGCCAACAGGGAGAAAAACACAGCCAGACATGAGGCAGAAGGAGCTTCATGCTGTTAATTTCTTCCAACCCATTAGGCCAACATCCTGAAGGAGTGCTCATTTTCAGAGCGTCCTGCTCACCGACAGCAGCACAACCTTACACTTAATGTTTGTGACAACTGGATCACTGCCTGTGAGCCCCACTGTCTGTCTGTGTCTGCACAAATGTATGCAAGCTCGCCTCGCTCTGCAGCCATGACGATGACACTGTCACACTTTCGGGAGTGCGCGCGCACACACAAACACACACACACACACGCAGGCAAACACACACGTCTTTCTATTCATGCAAATGCACTCTTCTCACACATTTTTTTTTTTTTTTGCTCCAAAGAAACAAAAATACACTGGATTACAGCGGGACAATGGGCGAAGGCAGGTCACCACGGCAACAAGCAGAGAGGGGCAGGAGCAGGGGATGTGTAAGTGGAATGACAGGGTGTCTGAAGCACTGATTTGGGGAAAGGTGGGGAAGAGGAGGGTGGGGGGTACTGTTACAGGAGCAGCTGTTGCTTTTGATTAGTTAATACATAAGGGTCTGAACAGCACTCAAACACACTCCCAACTCCCCTAAGAGTAGTTTAGTAAAAAAAAGTTAGCCCCAAAATGGCATGTTTTATGGACCCTTTGATATATTTGCCGTCCATCGGATTGGTGTTTTTCCCCTTTGCCAGTCACTTTTGCCCCTAACTATCTCAGCAATCCCCCGTTTTTCTGCCCTTGCACCTCTTCTAAGATCCCCCCCCTCTCTCTCCATGGGGGGTTACTTCTTCCCTTTCAGTCCCCTGCCATCTCTCTCTTCTCTTCCCCTCCTGCCTCTTTCCCTTCCTCCCTCTCCCCCAGCCACTCATCTGTCTCCACAGCATGTGTTTGTGCCTTCCACCAAATTTCATTCAAAGCCGCTAAAGAGGACAAAAGTGGGGGACTGAAACATGAAATGTGAATAAAAAAGAGCAAAACAGCTAACAAAGGACATAAACTAACAAACTAAGTAAGACAGCGGTCAACAGAGCTTTTTCTGACATTTAGTTCTTTATCTATTTTAGTTCTGAATATAACTTTGAGTATTACTACTGTTGCTTTATAACTTCAGAACAGGTAGATAAAAGATTAGATGAGTAAAACAAAAGGACCTGAACAGTCTTTTATCTGTTTTATAAAGAATTGTCAAAAGCACAGACTAGAGACTGCATGTTACCCAGATAAGATAATTACCAAACAGGCAGTGAAACACTGAGCTACTGTATAAATTATGGATAACCACTCAATGAAAATCCTTTTGGGTGTATTTTTAACATTATAAGTTAAAAACAATTTTTTTTATTGCTATTCAATCTGAAACTATTAGTCAAACCAGTATAAATAGTCGTCCTGCTTTTTGAGATGGCAATGAGGCGCTGCATTTGAGACAAAAGTAGGTTTGAGAACAGTTTACCTTTCCGAACTGGTCAAAGTATTGCTTCACATCTTCGATGGTGGTATTGACAGACAGTCCTCCGACAAAGATCTTCTTTGTCCTCGTCACCAGCTAGCAACACAAGAAAAAGAGAAGAGGGTATTCTCTGTCACTGATCACACTGGGCTGGGCTATGGGGTGCAGACTTTGTGGTGCTTCATGTTTATCTGATCAAGATGAAAATGTCTTTATGATCATTTCAGCAAATGAAGCTAGCGCTATGAGAGTTGTATCAATACGTTTACACGTGGCATTTTTAAGCACATTTGTAAGCC